ATGCTTCCTTTGCCAGTTTATCAGCCATTTCATTTCCATATATTCCTTTATGCGCAGGTATCCAGCAAAACCCTACTGTCCCTTCTTTTGTATACGATATAAAATTGTTAATATTTCATAAATTGAATCTTCTCTGGTTGATCTATGAGTAATTAAAGATGATAATGCTGATGCTGAATCAGAACACATAACTAACTTCTCATATTTCTTCCACCCATGTTAGTCCTATTATTATTGCAGTTGTTTCTATAGAATAAATTGATAACTTACCTGTTAATCTTTTTGAAATTGCTATTTTTAATTTTGGGATGTATACACCTATGCCTGAAACTCCTGTGACTGGGTCTTTTGATCCATCAGTATATATTTGTAGACTTTCATAAAATTTCTCTTGTACATGATTTTTAATTTTTGGAAGTGTTTTATAGTAAACAGAAAAGAGGACTTTTATTAATCTTACGGCTACGTTACGTTACGTTGCGTGCATTAGCCAATCCCATTGCTGTTTTGTCATCACGTGGGAGTGATGTGGGAGTTGTATGTGATGTTAGTTCAGTAGTATGCTCACAGGTTCCAGTGTGGATTGTCAATAAACCGTTCTGCTCTGGGCAAGAGCATTACCCGCTACTGTGAAGGTGTTATTTAAGTAAACATTTGGAATGGATTTCGGTTGTTGTGTGCCCTTTTTTACGCCTCCACAGACACTTATTACACCGATAGTGTCGGGTTAAAAGCACAACAATACCATTTGTTAACGAATAGCGTGACATAAGAACCTACAACTAAAGTCACTTGGTTAATTCTTTTAAACTACATTACATTACATTATTCAGTGTCGTGTGATTGCTGAACTGAACCACAGCAAACGTGATATTGATTACAATATAATAATATTGTATTTTTATTGACTTTACCAGCAAAATTATTACATATATCTGACTTTAACAATAAGAATAAAGTTTGTTTGAAGTGCTTTGAGAATTAATATATTTTTCTCCCAGAATTAATTTTACACCAACAAGCAAATAGTAATGGCGGATGAGAAAGCCCAGCTAATTATTATAAAAATTGCGTTTAATATGTCACGAAAATGAAGTTTTAACAGTTTTTCATGCGAGAATGTAGTTCTTCTAAACTCAAATATGCGTTTGTTTAATAGATAGCGGAGATTCTGACCTCTAGGGAGTAACGGCGCTTCATCACTTATGTGTCCGGCGAAACGAGGCTTTAATCCAATAATATCCAGCTGCAGCTCCGCAGAACCACACACGTTTTAGGCACACACAATCTAGGACACACAATCTAGACAAGCCATATATGTTTACGACGGATGTTATTGTTATTAACGTCTTTTTGAACATCTTCATCGATATATTTTAATGTATATTATTAATAAATATTGTACACAATAAACAACAGTGTTTACTTTACTTTATTCCACAAATATTGCGATTGCCCAGTAAGGACCAATATAAGATGCTTACAGAGCCCACTTCAAGCCCATATGGTCATCCACGGTTGAATCCTGGTGAAAGCCCACTTTCAACCCCTTTAGGCAGGTAGGGCCCAAATGGGTCTGACATTAATTACCCAGTTAAGACCCACATAAGACCCTCACAGATCCCACTTAAAACCCTTCTGGGCTTCCATGGCTGGTCCCCGTGTGAATCCTGGGTGCAAGCCCATTTAAACCCTTTAAGCAGGTGGGGCCCAAATGGGTCTTTTATCAATTGCCTGGTTAAGACCCACATAAGACTATCACAGATCCCACTTAAAACTCTTACGGGGCATCCATGGCAGGCCCCCATGTGGATCCCGGGTGCAAACCCACTTTAAACCCCTTCAGACTGGTGGGCCCCAAATGGGTCTGACATGTATTGCCTGGTTAAGACCCACATAAGACCCTTACAGATCCCACTTAAAACCCATCTGGGCATCCATGGCTGGCCCCCGTGCTGATCCTGGGTGCAAGCCCATTTTAAACCCTTTAAGCAGGTGGAGCCCAAATGGGTCTTTCATCAATTGCCCGGTTAAGACCCATATAAGACCCTCACAGATCCCACTTAAAACCCATCTGGGCATCAACGGGTGCAAACTGACTTTAAACCCCTTTGGGCAGGTGGGGCCAAAATGGGTTTGGCATGAATTGCCCAGTGAGGACCCATCCAGTACCCTTACCCTACAGGTCCCATTTTTAGTACGTCTGGGCTTCCACGGCTGGCCCCAATGTGAATCCCGGGTGCAAGCCCATGATGGGGCCCACATTTGACACCAATAAAGCCCTCATCTGGGCCCCACATGTCATTGCTAGCTGGGTGGTGGATTGAGAAAATCACAACCTTCCGACAGACTGTCATACAGACTTAAGGTTATGCTCATTTAACTCAGACTACCAATCTGCCAATCACTGATGACCTTTCAACTTACTAACCACTCCTTACCACTTATGGCATCCTAGCAACTGTCCCAAAGACTTCTATTGTAAAAAACTGCCATTGACTTTACATTGGACATACTAACAACTCTTACTAACGACATACTGATTCATAGAAACATACTAACAAACATACTAATTATACTAGCAAGCATTCATACTAAATTCATAACGGCATGCATGCTATTTTACTAGAAACATGCAAGTGACATGCTAATATAATATGACTATATAAAAGCTTTTAGTCCTCGTGTATGAGATTTAAGGTTTGGGACTGTGCTGAAGTCTGTTCTGAAATGAAAGCTGAAGTCTCTTATGAAATGAAAGCGAGACTTGACGTCATTCGACATGGTTTTTATTGACGTGTGACTTGCATTAACAGGTGAAAATCCAATCTTTCTGCTTGCACTGCAAATGAGAGGACCCAGATCCGATTCATTCATTCATTTTCTTGTCGGCTTAGTCCCTTTATTAATCCGGGGTCACCACAGCGGAATGAACCGCCAACTTATCCAGCAAGTTTTTACACAGTGGATGCCTTTCTAGCTGCAACCCATCTCTGGGAAACATTCAAATACACATTCACACACACACTCACTACGGACAATTTAGCCAACCCAATTCACCTGTACCGCATGTCTTTGGACTTGTGGGGAAAACCGGAGCACCTGGTGGAAACCCACGCAAACACAGGGAGAACATGCAAACTCCACACAGAAACGCCAACTTTGCCAAGGCTTGAACCAGTGACCCAGCGACCATCTTGCTGTGAGGAGGCAGCACTACCTACTGAGCCACTGCTTCGCCCCAGATCCGATTCATATTGGATACATTTTTACACACGGACAAGGCCTGAATTTGATTTGAGTAAATCGGAATCAATGTGATTTTTTTCCTCCTTATACGTACATGGGCCATATCCGATCTGTACCACATGGGACAAAAAAATCTTAAAGTCACTTGAATCATGCAGTGTAAATGCAGCCTAAGTCTCACAAACATACTTTCTGTCGGATACGCATTTCTTCTCCTTTATCATGATACTCACAAAAAAATATAGCTTGGATTACAGCATCCTCCATCCTTCAGTTGTTGATTTTATTGAAAGCTGCATTGGATGTCACTATCAGCCATGTTTCACTTCAGGGTTATAGTTGTTAGTTCCTATGTAGAGAGAGTTTGCACTTAAATAGATTTTTACATAAGCACACATAAAAGAGATTGCATCAAACAAAAAGTCTTTGCTAATGATCCAAGGGCACTCAAAAACAAGCTGGAGGTCACTGGGGTAATAATGCAATCCACAGCATTCTTAAACAAGAACTGACAACATTCAACTACAATGCAAGACTCTCAATATTGTGAACAAGGAACAAAGGCACTTTGTAACATCTTTCATCAACAAGTAGAGCATGCTTAAATCTTGTTTTCCTGTCTTGTTTGATTATATAATCAAACATTCTTATATCAAAGAAAAATCCATTATATTTGTTCTCTTTTTGCTGTTTTTGTTAATAGTTTAAGAGACATCAATATTTCCCTAAACCTGCATGAAACTATTTCTGCATTATAATGATTAAAAATAATTGTAATAATAATCCCATAATAATACAAATAAAATAACAAGGATAGAAGCAATGACACCTAATTGCATCAGTAACTTGATAACCCTACCTAATAGTTTTAATCAGTCTTACCAATGTTGGCACATTGGTGCATCTGCACAAAGATGTCGGAGAACTGCTTGAAGATCTTTCTTTGGAGAAATTTTACAACCCAACCCAACACTTACAAAAATAAGAAATGCTGTTCACACCCATATATATGTGTGTGTGTGTGTATGTATATATAATGCATCCATGAATAGTTACTAGATAAATGTAGCCATGGTGAGTACATCTTAATATTCAGTCAAAATATGAAATTATGTACATTATTTAAACTGTTAATTTATTCACAAACAATTAAAGAAAATATTAATGTATGATTAAAATAATGAATAATAGTAACCTTAATAAATATAAATGAATACAAACAAGTCAACCAGATATGAAACTAAACTTTATTCAAACTTATTCAAGTACTCATGTATTTCAGACAAAACCCCATGTTCTGCTGCATGTCCATACAGTTGGGCCAGTTCTGCAGGACTTCACTTGTTTTTGCCATCACATCCCTCAGTGCTGCAGTCAGACATGAGGCTGCCCATGCCTGAGAAACCGATTTATACTGGAGATGACACCAGCATCTGGCTCAGATGATGACAAACAGGCACGTGGAGGGACTTGGTCTATAGCCGTGCAGGCTCTTAAAAAAGTTTATTTATGTGTCGGTTTAAGGATTTGATTCACCATTTGCTGAGTCGGTTTGAGGATCTGATTTATAGTTTGAGCGTTTGATTTATCATTGATCTTTTGAGCATTTGAATTTTCATTTTCATATTATTAGGAAAAACTTCTATATATAAATCATGAGACAATAAATAGTCATCAAAGTATTAATAATTTCCGAACATTAAAACCACACCCGTGATATCCGCCCATTTGTAACGAACACGTGAACGCGCCGCGCGTGCAGTGCGAGTGATGTATCCATGAAGTCGCTACTACAAAGATGGCGGATTTCCTGCCCTCCCGGACTGCTATAGTTTGTATTCCCAATTGTCTTCTCTCCAGCGGCGAAATAGATCAAATTAGAAAGTCTAAGGAGATCGACAAAAGCCTGTCTCGAGAGAAGACCTATGTGAAGAAACTAGTGAAGATCTTGCTGTTAGGAGCGGGCGAAAGTGGCAAGTCAACTTTCCTCAAACAAATGCGCATAATTCATGGGCAGGACTTCGATCAGCGGGCCAAAGAAGAGTTCCGGGCTACAATCTACAGCAATGTTATCAAAGGTACAACGCCAATAACTTCACGTCAAATGAGACATCTTCGTTATTAAAAATGTAAAAATTTCAATCTTATTGCAGCGGCAGGTGGAAGTTTATCGATTTCTTTCACGTAACTTACGTAAACTTTCGATTACTCACCCAACCCATAGACGACGCAAAGGCGAGTGGTTTTAAGCGCTTGGGCTTGTTGAACATCAGTTATACTTTTCAGAATAAAACATTTTTACTAATGGAAGTCAAACGACTTTTTAAATACGTTTACATCTGTGTCAATAGTTTACATTTCATATGAAAACGTTCATTAGCTTGGCGCCACTAACGTTAGAGAAAATAACGTTACAGCGCCTACTTTGGTCTGGGTTAGTCATCTCTATGCATTATTGTTTTATTACAGATTCTGATAAGTGTATCTCAGTATGCCACTTATTCTTGAAATAACTACAAAGCAGGAAACATAACTAAGGAAAAAAAACTTTAGTATTGAGGGAAATTTTGTTTGGTTTCATTTTCTGACAAAATCAGTTTTGCCGTTGCCTTGATAGTAGTCAACAGTGTTGGATGAAAAACATCGTTATTATACAGTTCCACGTACGAGAATAATGATTACATGACACTGAATGCAGTCAGAATTATTTAAAACTTCATTTGAACTCCTTGTTATATGTACAGTGACTGTTTTCTGATGTTACTAGCTACTAAAATGATCTTAAATTGACAGGAAATTGCCAAACTTCTCAATTTAAATGCTTAAATTAGAATACATATTAGTAGTTACTTGACTGTTTTACAAATCTATATGATACTAGAGCTTGTGTGGCCTTGTTGACCTCTTAGAAAAGGGAAATATGATGACCCCGTTTGTATGAAGACAGTATAGTTTTTAATGCATTTAATTCCATCATAACAGTAATTCCATTGAATTGATTTTTAAAGCACATGATGTCAGCAGCCTTATGTACTTTTTATACAGTGTTTCTGCTGGAATTGAAGCCTTGATTCTCAATTTGCTCTTTCACAATTGTTTTATTTTATTTTATTGTTTTTTTATTTTATTTTTATTGTATGTTTATTTTTAAATTAACATACAAGTTAAATTCAAATAAAAATTCAATTACATCACACGAAAAAAAAACTTTACAGCAAATAACAGTACAGTACGTTTGCAGTTAGACAATATCAATTGTAAAAAAAAATTCTAAATAAACTAATACCTACAGGATAAAACAAATAATCTGACATGTTTATAGTGGTCTTTTACATAGGGTTGGAGTCAAACAACATTAGTGAACAGATGTAAACCTGTTTGCACATGGTTTCTTTATATAGATCAGTTAAAGGAGAGATATTCATTTTTAATGTATGTGATTATAAGTTGCCTTGTCTCTTCCACAATTTAAGGCTGTAGATGAATCTTTCAAGTAGAAAGCAAAAATTGTCTCATGCAGTATTGCTTTACATTTCTTGATTTTGGAATCTTTAAACATTTACATTGTGGGAAAAAGACAAAAATACTGACAAGCTGTTACTTTGCTCTGTGATCATAGATACAGCAAGCACTGTTTTATGTTTTAGTGTTTTAAAACAGAAATAAAAATTTTTATTAGTTAAAAATAATGGATATCAGTAAAATCTAAAGTTGTACTTTCAATCTTTAAAGTGTTGCTAACACATTGTGTGCTCCCTTTGAATTTACATTTAAACAACATGCTGACGTGTTGTGTTCCCTTCAAAGTATTCTTTAACTTTTATTAACATTTTTCATAAAAATCCTGTTTTAGTAACCTGCACCATGTGTCTTATTAGTATTATTCCGTGGTCTGTTTAGGTGTCCGGGTGCTGGTGGATGCCCGGGAGAAATTGCACATCCCTTGGGGAAACCCTGAGAATCAGGCTCATGGAGAGACAGTGATGGCCTTTGACACTCGCTCATCCCTGATGGCCAAAGGCATGATGGAAACGAAAGTCTTTTTAAACTTCCTTCCTGCCATCCGTGCCTTATGGCAAGACAGCGGTATTCAGAATGCATATGACAGACGAAGAGAGTTTCAGCTGGTAAATATGATTATTACGCTCGTTATTACATTGTATTGATTATTAGACCAAGTAAATGAATGTGCATTTTATCGTTTGCTTTTAGGTCACTGAAGTGAAATCGTGTATTTAAAATCCACCTAATCTTGTTCATAGGACTTGTGTAATTGTGGGGGCCGTGATCTTGAAGGAATGTTGATCTGTTGTTAAACGGCTCGCTGTTATAAAGCATGATTAGCTCTGAGTACTTGTATAATTACTCCTATCAAGCTTCAAACATTATAGTGTAATGCATGCTTGTATTTTTCATGAATTGGCCATGTTGGATATTGCACTGATGCTGTCACTATAGCAAAGATAATGGCTGAATCCATTCAGGGTTGTGCTGGTATACAAGTTGAACACAAGTACAGTCACTACAGTGAGTGTGTTCTGTCTGCGCATGTGTTTAGTTTGCATGTCGGTTATGAAGATAGGATCATTCATGTTCAGGGGTAGAGCCCTTGTGACTGAGATTAGGATTTAGCTCAAATTTTCCAAGAAAAATATCTCAAGTTTTTGTACATGTTGTGATTAATGTGTTTATCCTTATTTATTCAGTGATAAACATTCAATTGTGGTACATTGAAGCCTGTGACTAAGTCACTTTTGTTTTAAGACTGATTTGAATACTTCATGAAGCAAACCTATAGGCGACCACGCTGCACTGTCTCATTTTCCTGATGTTGTGTTGGGTAGACTCTGCTAGGAACAGACCAGAGTGACCTAGAAAGTTAGTTTATTATAATAAAGTTTTTCTTGTGTGATCTTATTTTTATATTTATTATTATTTTATTTCATTTTTTTACCTTCTGGTCTAGATTGTATAGTGTAACAAAATTCTATTGGAAAATTTGGGCACATCTAAAGAACAATGTAAAACTGTATCTTCTGCACTACAATGTAATTATTTATTTATTTTTTTTCTTTAGGGGGAATCTGTGAAATATTTCTTGGACAATGTGGATAAACTTGGACAATTGGTAAAATTTTGTTTAATCTGTAAATGTTATTTTATCTGATATCTCTAGTATCTAGAGCAGTGTTTTTCAACTGGTAGGTCACAACAACTCAAAAGTGGGTCGCTGAAGCGGTTTGAGTTTGTCACAAACTGTGTTTGTGATGCACGGCTTTAATTTTGAAAGACGTGTGTGAAAGCTGCTGTCTCTTCTGAGAAACACGCATTCTCCTAAAAGCCATTTCAGAAAAGGAAATATATGATAATGTGTTACGTTATTTTTTGAGCTGCTTTTGCGTTGCTTTTACTTGCCTGGCTGAATCTTTAATTTTAAAAACTCAACTATATAACCGAAACCTTCATTTACTTAAAAAAAACACATGAAACATAATAATGTTGCACAATATTATCGTTTGAGAACTTCCAGACCCTAAGGCTAAGCATGCCATATATACAGATCATTGATTGTTTAAAGTATTGTTTGCTACTTCTGCACTTTAGTGTTATTAGTTAAGTAAATTCACTGTCTCACACCCACACATAATCTACTCTTATCTCTTTCTTCTTCCATCGCAGAAATGTAAGGCTCCAGCCTGCATCTTTGTCTCTGACTTTTTGTTACTTCGCAGTGTGCTTACTCATCAAGTCTTGATTAAATGTAATTTCGTTTATTTTAACCATTTCACACATACGATCACACCAGTTTGATCAGTCTAGGCTGGTCCCTGAATCACAATTTATCCGTACTTTCAAAAAAAAAAAAAAAACTTTTATTTTAGGTTTCAAAAATTTCCACATAAATATACATTTTTAACCAGTTTAACTCTGCCTGCCTTGTACCGGAGACAAAATGATGTCATCGGGAGAATAACTATAGATTTAAGAGATCTGTCTGCATCAATAACACCATATATGACCTACTAGGTGAAATCTTAGAATGTCTATTTTCAACTGATACACATCACTTTGATATTTGTTGTACTGTAACAAAGTTATTTACACTTAATTTACACTCTTTGTATAATATCTCAACCCCCCTGATTTTGTACATTGTTCAGTTTGCATATTTTTCACATCGCTACTATCAGACACATTGGCAAGTAATACATTAAATTAAAGCTCTCATTCCCAATAATAAGGATCCATTGTTATTTTTATTTATTTACAATCACATATCCAACAGTCTTCGAATGAATCATAAAGTATAAACTTGTTTTTTTTTAAACATACAAGAGAAGTTATTGATTATTTGCTCCGTGAGCTGCCGGAGATAGCACAGATAGCCAAACAAGCTACATCATCTTTTACCTTAGGTTGTCCTTTGCAAAATGAGTCAATTTTCAGCGTTTTCTGAGGATGTGTGCATCAGTAATCCCCTGCTGTGTCTTGTAAGTGGGTCATGATATTCCAAAATTCGGGAAAATATAATAGCTTTGACCTATCCAGATGGATTATGTACCATTGGAAAAGTGAGATTCACGGCTTTATGCTGATGTATCACGACCCTTAATCAGCCAATCAGTGACTGAGATATTGCATGACAAACGGGAAGATAGGTGTCCAAAACAGAGCAAAAAAATTGTGATTTCCCACCCTTCGGTTGAACTAACATAATTATTGCATACTACATGATAAAAACAAAATTCTTTTTTCTAGTGTCTCCTGACAAATTCTGGTAACAATCAAAACAATCTGCAGTTTGATGGAGCATACAGGGCCTGAGTTATACACTTTCTAAATTAGGCTTAAGAACAAAAAAAACTAAAAGCGGTTTGTGTTGAGGTGGTTCATCATAGGACAGACAACATATATAATAATATTCATCACTTTCAGCTGTTCTTTTTGTAATTTCAAAGGGTTTTCTGTAAAATGACATTGAGATATTACATTTATTGTACTGTATGAGGGTATGGGGAGACTTAAAAAATAGTTAGGCGGAAATAAAAAGGCATTTTTAATGCATAACTGACATAAATTATTTTAAATAGGTGTTTACTGACACCTGCTGGAAAGAAATAAAATTGTTTCCAGGGTGCTGGAACACTTAAGGCCTGAGTTACACAACCTCCAAACTTCAGTTTATAAAAAAAAAGCGCCTTTTTGTATGTTTATTATAACACAGACAATATATACAACAATTGTTTTCAATTTCAACTGTATTTTATGAAATTTCAAAGGGTTTCCTTTCAAATGATACCACACTTTTGTATTTACACCCCTGCATGTGGGTATGGTAAGCTTTTTAAATCGGAAGGCCAAATTCAGGCGGAATTACCCCAAATAGCCCCAGAGCTCAACTGGTTAATAACATTTACACACACACACACACACATATATATATATAGTCTGCAAGACATCCACATGCATTTTACAAACCTTAAATAGTATGTTTTGCTTGTATTTATGTGATATATATATATATATATATATATATATATATATATATATATATATATATATATATATATATATATATATATATATATATATATATATATATATGTATATGTGTGTGTGTGTGTGTGTGTGTGTGTGTGTGTGTGTATATGTATGTATGTATGTATGTATGTATGTATGTTTGTGTGTGTGTGTGTGTATATATATATATATATATATATATATATATATATATATATATATATATATATATGTGTGTGTGTATATGTATGTGTGTGTGTGTGTATATATATATATATATATATATATATATATATATATATATGTATATGTGTGTGTGTGTGTGTGTGTGTGTGTGTATGTATATATGTGTATATATATATATGTATATATATGTATGTGTGTGTGTGTGTGTGTATATATATATATATATATATATATATATATATATATCACATAAATACAAGCAAAACATACTATTTAAGGTTTGTAAAATGCATGTGGATGTCTTGCAGACTGCAATAATAGTTATTTTTCATTATAACTGGACATGCTTTATTCACGGAAAATATACATTGTTTTTGTTACTATAATATTTTCTCTATTTCTCTCCCAGACAAGCAGTTGGCAAACTCTAAATTCTCCTGCGGTTGTTGCTATAATGGATACATCTGCGATCAAAAGTTAACAAGAAGTATTTATATTATTTAGAAAATTACGCATTATTTGTATTTTATTAGCAACTAACCCTAATTCAACCCTAAACCCAACCTTCACGGTATTGTAAAAATATTATTTGTTGTACAGTGTCACAAAATGTATGCTATATTGACGCGAGTATCCTCAGGAGAGGGTGAATTCTAGATGGGATGCAGCTAAGGATTTTTGCGACAGTATAGCATAATTTTTGTGACCCCGTACAGCAAATAATATTTTTACATTTTAATAATAAAACATGGAGAAGTATTGTATGTACCATTATAAAAAAAATCTGACTGAGTCGGCTTGCATGGTAAAAATGTATATTTATGTCTATAAAGAGAGTGAAGTACTTTGTCAGACATAAAAATCATGTTTATTTTATAACAAATAAAAGTAAAAATCATAACACTCATAAATTCTTCTTTTTTTTTTTTTAACTAAATGAAATGTCTCTCACCATTTGAAAAATAAACTTTCATGACCTGCCAGCTGTTATGCTCTGCTCACAGTGCACATACAAATGCAGTTGCACACACTGTATATCACTTCATTATAAATATAGGGCACAATAATTGTCCAACTTGTAACTTATTTTTATACTCTAAAAAAATGTGTCGTGGATTTTTGACAATAGAATACTGAAGATCCCAAGGCCAAACCAGTTAAGAACCACTGATCTAGAGCACAGGGTTGTTGTTATACCAGCAGTTCATGTTTTTTAATGTCATTGAATGACGTTATTTGTTGCCATTGTCAACAACTGTTTATTAAGAGTGTACCATATGTATTGTCTATGATATCATAATTGATGTTTTGAATGTGTAATTTGACATATCATGAATTATAAGATTGCCATGCAGTGTGAAAACAATGACAATCTGATGACTTTAAAAATTCCGCCGTGTGAACTTGGCATAATGAGCATCAAAGTCATGTCAATTTGCCACAACAGAGGATTTATGTCTAGGATAATTCGACTATCTAATGGACCAATCAAATCTCACACCATTTCAAATATTTTAAATAAACTTGCAAACACCTGAGCAGAAGTGTCTCCTAAAAATGATTTTAAAATGTGATAGTCTACCCAAACATCAGGCCACCTCAAAAACAGAGATCGTTTTTGCCCATGTCATCTAGCTCCCTTATGTTATATTTTTATGTTATATTTTTATTAAGTTTTATGCAACATTTAAATTTTGTAAATAAAGTAAATGTACGGCTTTGGATGAAAAAGGTCCAAAAGCCTAGTCAGGAAGCTTATTAGATTATCATTTATAGTGTCTATAATTCAATTTATAATTATGAAATGTATATTTACTTTTATAAGCCAAGTAATCAAGCAAGTAATTTCACACAATAAAATGCCCTTTTTACAAATATCAGCATGTGAATACAAGGAATTAATTGAGTCAATGATTCATTGTCACTTGATTTGTTTCTAAACGATTCAACCTTTTTAAACAATTTGGGCTCTATTTTACTGATCTAGGTGCAAAGTCTAAAGCACATGGCGCAGAAGCATTAAGGACATGTCCGAATCCAGTTTGCAATTTTAAGGTTGTAAAAATAGGGTCTATGCCCCGGCACATTGTCTAACAGGGTTTTGCTTATTCCTTTTAATGAGTTATGGGTGTGTTTTGAGCAAAGTATGCATTAAACCAATTATAGTCTCATCTTCCGTTCCCTTTAAAAGTCGCTTGCATTGCCTCGTGGCACATTTGCTATTTACATGGCGGACTTTGTAAGTGAAAAACCTGAATGCTTCACTAGCGAGAAAACGGTTAAACTATCTGCAGCGCGAGAATAAAGAACGAGTCTCCTCCATTCAGCCTCTTTACATTCTCTTACTTTTACTCTTTACTCCTTTTCTTTTGTGGATAAGGCAACAGTGTTGTACGCACTCCACTGTAGACATCAATTAGCCTACTTAAAAAATGTCATTTGTTAAGTGCAAAGGTTTGTTTTAAAACTAATTTCTAGCAAATATTTTTCTAACATTCTAAAAAATAGGTCAAAAGCCGATAGATCCAAATCCCTGTATAGCAGTTCTAGGCATTACTGATTTCGAGATAGCTAAAAACTAGGGGTGTAACGATTTATCGTTGTACGATTTATTGCGATGCAAAAATGTCTCTATGCATCGTGGCGTTATGACGATTTGATTTCGATATGACGTCCGTTTTCTCTTATTAGTTGAGCTGTTTGCACGTGAGCTACGTTCCACCTGCTGTCGCACGTGAGTTCAGATTGCAGCAGCAGTAATGTTAGCAGACCAAGATGAGTGGAGCTGAAATAAAGGATGGCCCATCCTCTCAAAATCAGATGTCTGGCAACATTTCGGTTGTACAGTCATTGCTTTAGAATCGTCCGCTTTTTGAAACGCATACTGGGTCAAACATCCTAAGTTTTAAAGTCTTCACAGTGATTTACATACTTTGCACAGCGACAGGGATACCTCCTAATGGTGTTGAAAGAGTCACATACTGTATTTATAAGGTACAATTCACCCTAAAATATCATTCTGTCTTCATATAATGATGTATTGGCGTCCGCAAAATCACACATGACGTGAGCTGACCGAGAGCTGTTACTACAGAGGGCGGACTATGATAGATGCGCGCGTATGGCAAGCCGTTTTAGCATTTAAACCTTTGATCTGACTATCCATAAATATATTTAGATATTCTCTAATTATATTTTGACTAGTCATAATTATAATTCGACTAGTCAAAATATAATTAGAGATATCTCTAAATGAATTTAATTAAATATGAATTAAATATATTTATGGATAGTCAGAACAAAGGTTTAAATGCTAAAACGGCTTGCCATACGCGCGCGTCTGCTTCAGTGAACAGAACCTGCAGGTTGTGACTAATAAAGTAGTAAACAACATTCAGTTTGTGAAACAGAGTGATCTTTCAGGAGCCGCGTGGGAAGTATGAACAGCACTTAGCAGTGGAAATGAAACCGAAAACGTACACATTATTTAAACAATCATATCGCATTTTAGAGTTATGATTACGACGAGCATTAACCCTTTTGAGTACAGAGGTACACAAAAATGCACGTCAACATGATACACTTGATAGCGCCGACATCAGCGATGCCAAAGAAATAGTAAACCTGCCTAAACTGCTGAAAAGAGTCACGACTGTCCTGTGTAATGAAAAGACGGCCACCCTGTCACTCATCATGCCCAACATGAAGACAGCCATCCATAAAAACCTCTCAGACAGAAACACATAAGTTCAGGATTATCTTATAGAACTGCTGATTGCTGATTGTTTGATTGGAAATGTGGATTTTTTTTGCACACACAAAAAACACAAGTGACCAAGCAAAGCCTTAAGCTCTTACTGTTAAATTCAATTGAATAGAAAGCTTATTTTTTTGCACCTTTACTTAAATTGTTCCTTAATTTTGTCTCTGTCATTTCAATAATATTTTTAAAGAAGTTTTTAAATTGTTTTATTTTCCAGAGACAGGCCTATTTAATATATTTTCTAAAAGAAGGTTCAGTTTAACAAGTTGAAACAAAAGAAATACATAAAAAATAGTTTACTTGGTAAAATTTGCATTTCAGTTAAATTTTCAATTTTTATTCCAAATATCGTGATACATATCGAATCGTGAACATTATATCGTGATACACATCGTATCGTGAGCTGGATGTATCGTTACACCTTTACTAAAAACAGTATTGAACATAATATAGTTCCATTTGTCTGTCTACTAGCGCAAAGGTTTATATTATTAAACTGAAAACAGAAAGCCGCTTGTATACATCTTATGAGGGATGTAATGAAATATTTAGAACTGGAGAAAATCAGATACTCCCTAAAAAAGAAAAAAGAAAATTCTATAAAATTTTGGTAACCTTTCATGGCTTACTTTTAAAGACATAAATTCTGCAAGAAATGGTTAAATTGAAGAAGATTAGACCAATTTAGTTTAAAACAGAAGATTATTATTATTTTATTTATTATTTTTATTTATTTATTATCGTATTTATTCTTTGTTTCCCTTTTTGTAGTTTTAATTTAATTTTATTATTTAATTAATTTATTTATTTTATTTTTTAATTTTTTTATTGTATTAATCTAGTTTTACTATACTTGATGTACGGATTGATGTATGGATTGTTTGTATATTTTATGCTTTATTGTCAAATGTAGTGTGAATGTTTGTTGGACCAAAGTTGTAAGTTGTTGTGTTTTAATGTCTAAAAAATAATAAAGTTAAAAAAAAAATTCCAGCAAACAAATACGTGAACAATAATAATGAAGTGTGGTTAAAAAGTTAGAATAAAGGGTTATATCCAAACACACTTCGTATTTTCATTGCCCATATGGTGATGCATACATCTCCAAAACCCAATAGATGGACAAGTCTAATCCTGTGTGTTTTAAGTGTTTAGACCTGCATACGCGCGTAACTAATGCATGCTCATTGCACTTTAGACCAGCTTTTAGTTGGTCAATGGCACAGTCTATTTCAGTCCCACAAAATAGCAATGCACCAACAATGCACTTTAACACACCTACTTTGTTAGACCAGCACACCCAAGAGTCCACAAAGTGGCGCAAATGGATTTGCTATTTAAACAACATGACGCAAAATATGAAAATTACTGTTGTGCTTGTCTGAAAACAGCAACAAATCACATCAAACACGTCTTGTGCCTGATAGGGCCCTTTGTTTGTTTGATTTGATTGATTGATTTATTCATTCATTCTTTCATTCATTAAATCGCTCATTACGGCAGGGCTTGCCACATACTGGCAGATGGGTTATATTTATTTATCTGTAATAAGTCCTTATCAACTGAATAACCAGCACAAAAATGCACTTAGTGAAGAATTATTGAGATGCATGTAGAAATGTGTAGCTTAGCACTGATTTTTCATAAAGGTTTTAGGGTTTTCTTGTGTTATTGCTGTCTGATGTTTGTTTCCATTCAATCTTCAGGACTACTTGCCCAGCCAAAAGGATATACTTCTGGCTCGAAAACCCACCAAAGGTATCCACGAGTACGAATTTGAGATCAAGAATGTGCCTTTTAAGATGGTGGATGTGGGCGGACAGCGGTCAGAGCGCAAGCGATGGTTCGAGTGCTTCGACTCTGTGACCTCCATCCTCTTCCTAGTGTCATCCAGCGAGTACGATCAGGTGCTAATGGAAGACCGTCAAACCAACAGGCTCACGGAGTCGCTCAATATCTTCGAGACAATCGTCAACAACCGCGTCTTCGCCAACGTCTCCATTATTCTCTTCCTCAATAAGACAGACTTGCTGGAAGACAAAGTTAAAACTGTGAACATCAAGGACTACTTCTCCGAGTTCACAGGGGAACCTCACAACCTGCAGGACGTGCAGAAGTTCCTGGTGGAGTGCTTCCGAAACAAACGCCGGGAACAGCAGCAGAAGCCTTTGTACCATCACTTCACCACCGCCATTAACACGGAGAACATTCGACTCGTCTTCCGCGACGTCAAAGACACCATCTTGCACGACAACCTTAAACAGCTTATGTTACAATGAAAGCCTTCAAGAACTTTCCATTTTAATTAGGTTTTTACTTTATTTAATACAAAGTACAAGTGGTTCAATACATATTGTGGTCGAAGAAGAAACAGATAGGATAAATTTGTTGTTGTTGTTTTTGCATAATATTACAATCATATAATGCAAAGGATTTGATATAAGAGAAATTTTTTTTAAGCTGCTTGTAGCCATATTAAACACGCCAAGAAAACGGTCCTCATTTATTCACCTAAATGCTGTAACTGATCATTTACTGTATGTTTGTGAACACATATTTTAGTTCAGAACCGTTTAACACGCCTACAACCCTTTTCAAATGTTAATCATGAACTCAGGGCTTGATATATTTGGTTTAAAAACAAGGTGAGCAGTTTTTTTTTTTTTTTTTTTTTTTTTTTGGGGGGGGGGGGGGGGGGTGGTCTGGCTTGATTGGTCTGGTTAAAGGCCCTTTTATCGTTGATAGGAGAACATAATTTCACTGCCTTTGTCTTCCCATAAGATCATGACAATAAAACTGTGCAATTAAGGTCCTTTTGTAATATAAAGTACTTCTTTGTCGTTCATTCGTAAAGGGAAAGTATATTTGCCATTTAAGCTTGTACAGAATTCGTTTCTGTATATTAAATTTCATTTGTCCTGACATTTGTATTTTACACACTAACCTAATATTGTATAGTTGTGTTCTGAAAGCCCTGAAATGTTTAGTTTGTTTATGACATTACTTTTTCAAATGAGAAAGTGGCCTTGTGTCTCCTGTGTAGGTTATAGTGGACAGCTTTAGCTCAGGGTTTTTTAAATGGCTGTTAAAGCAGTCCAGGTGGTTTTGTGTATTGGTTTAATACAGACGTTATGTTTTTATTTTATAATTTTGGCCCAATAAAGTCACCTTTGCCTTAAATGTCTGCAGATCAGCTGATAGCTGATTTGATGCAAGCCAAATTGAAATGTGTTGATAGAGAAACTAAGTCTTAATGTAATCTTAATGACAGCAAGCACTGTAATCTGACTGTTGTTGGTAGTAAATTGATATTAAATGATCGCTTTACATAAGGTCTTTATGAAATCTGTAAATGTTTTTTTTTTTTTTTCAAAATTTTGTGCATCTTTGTCATGGCCATAATCAAATGCTTTTTGTTTAGTGTGTTTTGTTGAGCTTTTTTTGGATCACATTTGTGTAATTCTGTTTATTAAATCTGATTATTTTATCAGAAACTTTGTGTACTTTTGTACTGGTGAATTATATTTTCGGTGAATAAAATTGAGTCTATATCACAGGTGTCAAAGCCAGTTTCTGGAGGGGGAAGCCCTCCAGTTTCAACCCTAATTAAACACATCTTGATCTGACGAATTGAGACCTTCGGGCTTGTTTGAAATCTACAGGTAAGTGTGTTGAAGCAGGGTTGGAACAAAACTGCAGAGCTGTGGCCCTCCAGGAACTGGCTTTGACACCTGTGGTCTATATATATATATATATATATATACATACACACACACATATACATATATATATATATATATATATATATATATATATATATATATATATATATATATATATATATATATATATATATATATATATATTCTTCAATAATTTTACAATACAATCAGTTTACATATTTTACCTCCTTTTAAAATCCCCGTATCCCTCCCTTCCCCTACAGCGGCAGTGCTGTCATTGAGTATTGCCATCATAGACCCAGAAAACACAAATACTTATTATTAAACTCCATAGGAGCAGTAACAATAAATAAAACATAAATAAATAATAATAAAAATATATAAAATAATAACATTTTTGATATATATATATATATATATATATATATATATATACATGTAATTAATTTTTTTATGTGTTTTAACAATACAAACATATTAACCATAATAATGGATGACATCAAATACAATAACTAAACAAGTAAAATAATAATAAAAATAAGATTATACAAAAAAAAAAAAAAACTACAGAGGCAAATTATCAAATTAAATAATATTTAAAAAGTCCTTATAAAATTCCACAGTTTGAACACTTTTTACATTTTGTAAAGTAGTAATTAAACAATTTAAGTCACAAAAAAAATTCTGCAACTTAGGCTAAGAATATCTAAAAAAAACATCTTACCACTTGTGACGGGAAAAAATAAAATGCATTTACATTTTGTTGTCATTTGTTCCTAGGTGTTGAATATTGGAAATATATATCATCGAATGTGCTTCTCTTTTAAAAATTCTTGAATACACATACAATTTTTTATTTTTGCAGCATTTATCAAAAGTCATCACACGGTCATCACATGGTCTGGTACTTTAAGTTTGAAAAACATGGCAGCCAGTGTGAATATCGAGTCTTGTTACTGAAAACATATCAATGCTGAAAACTTGTTTCAACAGCTTTCAGTTTACCGCTTCCGTATTTCTCAGCATGTTTGTGTATTCTTCTTGTTTCTTTTACTATTTTTCAGTTTTTTTTTATCCGACGCATGACATTCTTTGTATAGGGTAGCTTATATAAATATAAACGTGTGTTGACCAATGGCAGTTCTCTCGGACATGTCAACATTTAATACTACGATATGTCAGGTTAAGTTACTATTATTTAAAATCGCTATATGGTTGGTGGGCATAACTTAACGCAATTCACAGATAATGTCCACATACAGTTCAAGTGTGTCAGTAAACAAAGAATACAGTATTGACAGCTGTAAGAAGCTTACCACACCATTACTTACAAAACATTTTATATTTACTTACCTTATTTATTTATTTTATACTTTTATTACCTTTATTTTATGTCCCCATACAGAAAACAGCTTATAAATCACAATGTTTCCTATTGCTATATGTTACAGTTGTACACTACAAATATATAAGCTAATCAAGAGATTCTGTTGACAAGCTGGAAAGTTTGGAGTAGTATTAGATAGATCGATTAAGTTTGAACCATATTAAAGTGTAAATACTAATTAGCATGCAAATACGTTTTACCAATTAAATTAGCATTTTGCTACCACTTCTCTTTCTGTTTAACTTGTTTGTTTAACATGTATTGCTATGCTAGCAGATTTGAACACTATTAGCATGATCATTATGCTGCTCACATTAGTTGTAGTACATAAATATATATACACATACATATATACACACAATTTTTTAACAGTACAGAAAGCATCATGTCTTTAGAAAGTCCTCATCAAACCCAATTGTTATTTGTGTTTTTAAAGGATAGATGCAGGTTATTAAGAGGCTTGAGAGGCTGCTCACGGCCCTCTTGTCCACACAGAAAGATCTAATCGAATCATACCAACAGTTCAGCCGAGCAGAAAAGACACTTTTAGATGGAGGACTCCAGCCTGCTAATTCATTTTTCAGCCCCATCACTGTTCACTCCGACTCAAACTGGAATCCTGCCCATCCAGAGAATCCTCAAGACTTTCAGAGCTTTTACATGAGCCCTTACTGCCGTACTCCACCCAGCGTACACAATACTATCCACATTCAAACTATTGGTCAGCGAGCTTGTATTGTAAAACAGCTTAAATGTTTCACTAACTATTGTTTTCTCACTTGTTTTTGTGCCATTTTGATAAATGTACAGGCTCTTTTGGAGATGAAGCGGCTGTGGCTGAGCAGTGTGTTGAATGGCTAAAGGACTACTGTCAAACCTTCTATTATGGGCTGGCGGTCAAGCTTTTTCCACCAGTAACAGTTGCTTCGTCAGATTGCTCATTTTGTGAGCAACAGCAACACACACCACCTCCAGCTGCATGCAGGTTAGTACTGTTTAAAACTACAAATTGTATTATCATTTATCAGGCAAATGACAAACTATAATATCCAAAATAACTTAAATAAAAATAGCTTTCCTTTAGATACCAGAATTGAATCAAGCATAACGTTCATTCATTTTCCATCAGCTTAGTCCCTTTATTCATCAGGGGTCACTAAAGAGGAATGAACCGCCAACTTATACAGTAAATGTTTTACACAGCGGATGCAGTTTTAGCTGCAATCCACTACTGGGAAACACCCATACACTCCCGCATTCACACACACAAACTACGGCCAATTTTGTTTATTCAATTCAAAAATAGTGCATGTTTTTGGACTGTGGTGGAAACTGGAGCACCTGGAGAAAACCCACATGAAAACGGGGAGAACATGCAAACTCCACACAGAAATGCCTATGACCTAGTCTGGATTCAAATCAGTGACCTTCTTGCTGTGAGGCGACAGTGCTAACCACTTTAAGCATAACAAATAAGCATTAAAACATATTTTCTCATTATTAGTTATATTAATAGAATACATATAGATATATTAATAGAATTATCAGAAATTCAGCAGAAACATTTTTATATAAAACATAAAAACTGAGTTTTTATTTTAAAAAAATATTTTTGAGCCGATCATTTAATCTATTTACTTATGCAAATGTGTGTATATATGTATTTGGTCAGTTTTTATATTAATTTCAGCAATGCTAATTATAATATTCTAATTTGTATAGATAATTTGTGTACAATAGAAATTTGAAAGAATTTGATATTTGATATCATATTAAACATTTAAATTTATGTCTTTTATCTATTATCTAGTGGATCTATTAAATAATTTAGTTTTGCATTATAAACCTTTTTAAGTTTGAAGCTATTTGCACATGGTTTTCACCATTAATTCATCAATATGATTAATAAAATTAGTTTCACAAGTTAACATTAACATTAGATTAGGCTAATTTCAGACAGTGTTTCGCACTGATTTAAAAGGTGCAGTAGGTGATTGTCTTCAGAAACACTTTTTGTTGTGCTTTTTGAAAGTCTCTTTACATTTCAATAAAGTTTTTGATTTTTGATTAAAGTAAATGATCTAAATGTATTTATATGTAGTTTTATATTTTGGGTAAGGCATAAGACTCAAAAAAGTTCATCCAATTAAAATCTGTCAGGCCAACAATTCCCATAATTCTGATAAGGAGCCCAAGCTGTAATGTAGATTTGTTGACAGACAGTTCACGCAGATCCGTCATTTGCACATGCATGCACACAGTGTTTACATGCACCTGAGAGAGAGAGAAAGAGAGAGTTTGACTGTGGTAAAACAATGTGTTGATGTGACATTTCATGAGGGTCCTTTTACAGCATTGATAATGTAGATTTTTATTTAGTTTAACAACAAAACATAAGTAAACAGCACTATTCCACCAAGCCTGCTTTACTAAGGTGAAGTTGGTGTTATATTTACATTGATTCATTTTTGAACAATGTCAACATGTGAAGTGGCCTATATTGCTTATCATGCTTCTTTAAATATTCGGTCTGAAATAACATGTAAGTATGGCTTAGTAATAAGTGTAATTTCTGCACCCTGCCGGCCTACCACTAAGCAGTCGCTTTAGGACCAGCGATTGTTGCATGGATGAAATATTGCACATTATAACAAGTATTGCTACACAACTGAAAGTGTGCTAGATGTAACAATGCTTTTCATTCAGAATTGTAGTATTATAAAGTACTATACAGTTTTCTAACTGGTGAATGACATGATCTAGTGGGTTATCTACTGTCATCTTTAATGTGTATATTCGTGATTTCAGGAGGTGGGGCTTTGGACGTGTGAACCTTTAAGTAAATGTAAAATTCCTCAGGCTATATCCAACTTAAATAGTTATCTTGTCATTTGACACTTGTTTTTGTAACCCAAAAAGCCACTTAAATATAAATACTTTTATAAAAAAAATTTATTTGTATAGTTAAAAGTCAACAATGCACATATTGCACATAAACTTTCTAGATGTAAATATATAACTTTATCATTTGTATTGTTTATATTCCAATTATTATATATGTCCTTCTTGCGTCAGTATCTATGTATGTACTCTGAGCTCCTGAAAACCACAAAGAGACTCCTTGTGTGTTTACGTACACTTGGTGAGCAAAGCTTATTCCGATACGTTTCCAGGAGAACTGATGGCCTTCTTGAAAAAGAGAAAGCCCATCGATGCTTTTTGCATTGTGGGGATCACCATGATCGATTTGTACCCCAAGGAGTCGTGGAATTTTGTTTTTGGCCAATCTTGTCTCTCTCATGGTGATTTTACATCATCACACTATCATCATATGAACTCGTTCCTGAAATTTTTTTGTAACAAAAGCACAGTTGTCATTAGAGCACACTTTTATTTTCTGATTTAACAAACCTTTTGCAATTTTAATACTTATAAATTGTGAAATATTTTTTTCCTGTAGGTATGGGAGTCTTCAGCTTTGCACGGTATGATGATGATTTTTACAAGTTGAGCTATGCAGGCATCTCAAGAAGAGAATAAAACTGAAGTAAGGAGACTACTCTATGTTTGAGAATTACTACACTCCTTCACTCACCAGCACTCTTCTGCTGCACTCATGCAAGGTGAAGTGAGACCACTGGCAAACAGTGTGATATAACTATTAATCATCATAAGCTCAATTCATTTAATCATTCATTTTCCTACAGCTTTGTGCCTGATTTATCAGGGGTCACCACAACGGAATGAACGCCATAAAAATCAATCGAACATTGTTTATTTTAATGGAATACTGCAGCGCATTTATTATCAATCATTTATACAATGTGTGTGTATATACACTCACCGGCCACTTTATTAGGTACACCTTACTGGTACTGGGTTGAACCCCTTTTGCCCTCAGAACTGCCTTAATCCTTCGTGACATAGATTCAACAAGGTACTGGAAATACTCCCTAAAGATTTTGGTCCATATTGACATCATAGCACCACGCTGTTGCTGCAGATTGGTCGGCTGCACATCCATGATGTGAATTTCCCATTCCACCCCATTCCAAATGTGCTTTATTTAGACAGTCTGGTGACTGTGGAGGCCATTTGAGTGAACTCATTGTCATGCATAAGAAACCAGTTTGAGATGATTCGTGCTTTATGAAATGCCTTGTTATACTGCTGGAAGTAGCCATCAGAAGATAGGTATACAGTTGTCATAAAGGGATGGACATGGACAGCAACAAAACTCATGTAGGCTGTGGCATTGACGCAATTTTCAATTGGTACCAATAGGCCCAAAGTGTGCCAGGAAAATATTCCCCACAACATTACACTACCACCACCTGAAACGTTAATACAAGGCTGGATGGATTCTTGCTTTCATCGTATTGACACCAAATTCTGATCCTGTCATCCAGATGTCACAGCAGAAATCAAGACTCATCAGAGCAGGCAACGTTTTTACAATCTTCTGTTGTCCAATTTTAGTGAGCCTGTGCAAATTGTAGCCTCAGTTTCCTGTTCTTAGCTGGCAGGAGTGGCACCCTGTGTGGTCTTCTGCTGCTGGAGCCCATTTGCTTCAAGGTTAGACATGTTGTGCGTTCAGAGATGCTCTTCTGCATACCTCGGTTGTAACGAATGTTTTTTTAACTTACTGTTGCCTTTCTATCAGCCCAAACCAGTCTGGCCATTCTCCTCTGACCTCTGGCATCAACAAGGCATTTGCGCTCACAGCACTGCCGCTCACTTGATATTTTCTCTTTTTTGGACCATTCTCTGTAAACCCTAGAGATGGTTGCGCAAGAAAATCCCAGTAGATCAGCGGTCTACAGACCATGTCTTCATGCCTGAATGCATTGAGTTGCTGCCATGTGATTGGCTGATTTAAAATTTGCGTTAACAAGCTATTGAACAAGTGTACCTAATAAAGTGGTCGGTGAGTGTGTATATATATAACCCTTTTTCTTGCAAAACTGTATTTTTTGTAAGTTTATGTGCCACAATTTATTTAGATTTCCCTGACTTGTTAGTTATCAGCTCACAAATGGAAGTTTATCTCTTCTACACTACCTTTTGAAAAAAATACATATCTTGCAATTCTGCCTTTAATATGTATAAACTCACAATTGTAATATAGAAAAAAAAATTTGCAAGTAACATTTTCATTTAATATTTAGTTTTTGTAGGCGACGCAGTGGTGCGGTAGGTAGCACTGTCGCCTCACAGCAAGAAGGTCGCAGGTTCAGGCCTCGGCTGGGTCAGTTGGTGTTTCTGTATGGAGTTTGCATGTTCTCCCTGCGTTCGCGTGGGTTTCCTCCTGGTGCTCCGGTTTCCCCCACAGTCCAAAGACATGCAGTACAAGTAAATTGGGTAGGCTAAATTGTCTGTAGCGTATGAGTGTGAATGAGTGTGTGTGGATGTTTCCCAGTGATGGTTTGCGGCTGGAAGGGCATCCGCTGCGTAAAAACGTGCTGGATAGGTTGATGGTTCATTCCACTGTGGCGACCCTGGATTAATAAAGGACTAAGCCAAAAAGAAAATTAATTTAATTTCTGTTTTTACCCCATGACATGATGTTCTGAAGGTTTATATAAAGGATGGAAGATTTCATTTCTTGCCATGTGTTATATTGTGTGGTTGAAAACATTCATCAACAAATGCACTAAACTTTGTATAAGAGTTCATATTTTAATCACAACTTTTATTTGTTCATCTACTTCAGACCTTGACTCATGAGATTGGACATATTTTCGGGATGCAGCACTGCCAGTGGGTGAACTGTATCATGCAGGGCTCTAATCATTTAAAGGAGTCTGATTGTCGGCCACTTGACCTCTGCCCCATCTGTCTTCGTAAACTGCAGTCTGCCCTCAGTTTCAAAATAGCTGACCGATATAAGGTAAGACCAGGGGTCACCAACCTTTTGGAAACTGAGAGCTACTTCTTGGGTACCGATTAATGTGAAGGGCACCAGTTATTAAATAACACATTTTTTCAATTTACTTTTAATTTCATGTTATTAATAATAATTGATTATATTCATCTATGTGAAGACATTGATCATGTTAATGATTTCTCACAGTAGTTGTCAACAATGATATAACAAGCTATATAAATATCAATATGCAACACTTCATTTGTCTGAAATAGTTTTTAAAGTTTTTTTAATATATAACTTAAAGTAATTTTCAAATTTACACCAATGCAAGTGTGATTAAAAAAGAATACCTATAAAAATATTAGATGCAGCTTACTCATATGTGGTGCTATGGTGAGCTATTTTTAGAACAGGCCCGCGGGCAACTCATGTGAACCTGGCGGGCTACCTGGTGCCCACGGGCACAATGTTGGTGACCCCTGGGTAAGACCATACCCTGCCACAACTGACAGACTGTAGTTTATAGCAATGGATATTCTCCTTTTTCCTACACTCCATGATCATTTGCATGAATTATGGGAGTAACTGAGTAAAGCTTAACTGCAAACAATCTGTAAAATGGTTTTAAAAAACTGGCTGACATGAGGTGCTGCATACTATTGTTGCATTTACTGAATCTCCTGGTATGGCAACAAAGTTCTTAATTTATTCATTCTAAATCTTAAAAGAACTTAATTATTAAATCAGAATGATAATATATTTTCCAGTCATAACGACCTAGAAAATAGCAACTTTTCATTTTCCATCAGTCTTAGTACAAAATGTATCTATAGGAGAGTCAAGTTTTAAATAGGAAGACAATTATTAAAACTATTTTGGTTTTTTTTTTAAATGAATTTCAAATTTGTTTATTTAAAAGCACAATTAAAACAGCCACAAGACTGACTGAGTAATATCTAGTAAACATATAAAGAAAACTATAAAAACATAGAAATAAAACCAAGAGAAGCAACATATATATATATATATATATATATATATATATATATATATATATATATATATATATATATATATATATATATATATATAATTTATAAATAAAGCAATCGACAGAACTATTAATATAATATTAATATTATAATTATTATTAACAGTTTAATATTAATATTATAATATAAAACTGAATCAGTATGGTTAAAGTTATTTAAAAATAGATGGTGATGGTGCCATTCTAATCTCATGGGGCAGATTGTTTCACAATCCCAGACCAGCCACAGAAAAAGCTTTGTCCCCTCTATGTTTTAGTCTGGACTGGGGAACTAAAGCAATATTTTGTTCACTGGTCCTTTAACATCTAACGGGAGTAGAAAAATGGTACAGCTCTGAAAGATAATGTGGGGCTAGACTATGTAGGGTTTTATACACCAGTAAAAGCACTTTAAAATTGGTTCTGAATTGGATCGGCAGCAAATGGAGGGACCTCAGATTACTATTTTAAATGAATCTAGCAGCAGCATTTTGGACCAATGTTAGGTGATAAATTTGTGATTTAGAGATGCCAGAGTAAAGTGTGTTGCAGTAATTTAACCGTGAAGTGGGATTTAAAACCCCGAAAAGTGGTATTAAAAAGTGTTTAACTGCACAGGAGTTGATAAAAGCTGGAACCAATAATAGAACTGATAAGTTTGTCTAGTTTCAATGACTCATCAAAAATGACAACCAAATTCTGCACTCGAGAGGATCTGAAGGCAGAGATGCAGACCAGATGTAGCCTGAAAATTAGCAATAGGGCTAAAACAATAACCTCTGTCTTATCTTCATTTAATGTAAAAAAAATTCCTGTTTTTAATCTCATCTGAGCAACTTAATAAGTTATTAAAAACTTAGAGGGTAATTTATTTTGCTAGGTAAGTAAAACTAATGGTCTAATCAAATTCAGTAAACTATTCTAAGCTAAAAGTGCTCCCACCAGACCCAAAAATTGGCTGAATGGGTTGAAAAATGGTAAAATGCCACTGGTTTTACTCTATAGGAGTTGTAAAATGAGCTTATTTTCTTCCAAAAGTGGAGTGTTTCTTTAAATATTACTGTAATATAGGAATACAGTGAGAAAATAACCTCAAGGAATAAAACAGTAATCTCAAAAGAGCTTTAACCATGAATAAACTTGTGTTACTAGTTTCAGTAATCTAATTTTCATGATGGATTAAAATGAACCACAAAGCCAAACATGCCTGTATAAAGATAATTTTTTTAGTACAACCTTATTATTTAAAATGATGATTTGTTCTATTAATGGAAGTCCTACAATTAGAAACACAGTAGTCACATGTTGAAAAAGGTGGATACAGTGAACAATAGAAATATTCTGTTGTGAACATTTGAGTATATGAGGTGAATCAGAAACATACTATAGTTACAGAATGTTATTATGTTCTCTAAAGGCATTACTGCATTGGATTGAAGATGGAGCTGATGGACTCAAAACTCAAAAGCCACACAAGCCTTTCAAGAGTACACACACTGGTTTTACAAGTGCTTACAAATATTGGAAGGTGAAGCATCATGAACCAGCCAGTTTGAACTTTTGCTATCTGCCGACAAGCAATGTCAAGGCAAGTTAAGACATGCTATTTGCACAATCTTATAAAGAGCTTTAGTGAGAAAACGTCTGCTGAGTAAATACTAGTAAACGTGTTCATAACAAATACTTTAGATTTGTTTGTATGTATATATCAAACTTAATTAATTTTTGTTTCTCTTTCGTTTGTATTTGGCTTTTTCTGAAGGTGTCTGTTAAACAAGAAATCAAATTCAGACAGCAGCGTAAAAGGTGTGTATTTATTCTTCAGTCAGATTCAAAGATTGTTATAAAAAATTATATTGTGCAGAAACAGAAGAGATCATTTCATATTCACATCACATTCCACTGAAGATACAACAAATACAATTCTTTTCCAATATTAAAATACCAAAGAAATACAGTTTTTCTAAGAGAGGTGAATGATGAAAGTCATCATTCGTAAGAAACATTTACATTTGAATTTGCCATTGCATTATTTTGGACATCTTTCTTCCTTGTTGCACAATTCCATCAATCTGTGCTCTGTAATGTTTTGAATTCACAATTCTCTCTATATAACAGAGATGCAAATCTCATCCACAGTTGAAGAATCATTGTAGAAAAGACCAAACAACACCCTAAACAAACTGCTAGGATTATTAAAATACTGTAGTTTACCTGGGTTTAGCATTTAGTTCATAAAGAGTCAATAAAGAGCTATTTATCACTATTTATTATTAATAATAATAGTAATAATAATAATAATAATGAATATATAATAACATCTCTATATAATTATAACATCTCTTTACAATTTAGATTGTTTTTCAATGAGTTTAAACATCTTTGGTCAATGCTTTAGCTATAAGTGGCTGTAAGCATCCATAGATATTGGCAATAATTTCTAAAACCACGAAAATGGGGTTTGCTGTTGAAGGTCATTTCTTCTGTTTCTAGAACAGAGAAGCAGTGTTTAGAGTCATTCCAAATGGGGTTTGTATGTCATTGTATAATAGTCATATTTATGAAATCAGTGTATGAGCAACAAATTCACATGCAAAAATAGAAGAGGGGGAAGCAGTGGCGCAGTAGGTAGTGTTGTCGCCTCACAGCAAGAAGGTGGCTGGGTCGCTGGTTCGAGGCTCGGCTCAGTTGGCGTTTCTGTGTGGAGTTTGCATGTTTTCCCTGCGTTCGCGTGGGTTTCCTTTGGGTGCTCCTGTTTTCCCCACAGTCCAAAGACATGCGGTACAGGTGAATTGGGTAGGCTAAATTGTCCGTAGTGTATAAGTGTGTGTGTGAATGTGTGTGTGGATGTTTCCCAGAGATGGGTTGCAGCTGGAAAGGTATCCGCTGCGTAAAAACTTGATGGATAAGTTGGCGATTCATTCCGCTGTGGCGACCCCAAATTAATAAAGGGACTAAACCGACAAGACAATGAATAAATGAAAATGGAAGAATGGTTAACCCAAATATGGCATTTCTGTCATTATGTACACTGTCGTGTCAAATTTTGGTTTATTTTTGGAATAAAAACTACAATAATTTAATAAAACTTTTCTTTGCATTTAAACATTAATCAAAACACACTTAAACCACAATAAATGTAGGTAAATGAAGACCACCCGTAGATGAACAAAAATAGAACAATATTGGTTCTTCTACGTCATTCATGACAGAATTTTCATTTTGGGTGAAAAACCTTTTACCCAATTCTCATGAATTATAACGTAGCCAAAGTTCCAGTACATTCAGTTTGAATGTGTTCCTATTATATCAACAGGTTTGATAGTTCCTAATGTTCTGTGTTTTTAAGACTAAACTTCTTGGTTACCCTGTTCTAGCAATTCCTCTGGCTTGATTTAGACACTTGCTCCACCGCAGAGTTATTCTCTCCATTTTTCCTCCTTCTGCAAAGATGACCTGTCTTGGCTGGACGTACAAGCCCAAGGAAAATGGCACCTAATCCCATTCCTGCAGCGCAGGAGTAGAATGCAGCACTGTAGTTTTGTGTAATATCCACAAGGACGCCTACAATATTTGGGAGAAAATACTGTAAGTTGCTTGACATTTTCATTTTATATACACTACCAATTAAATGATTGGAGTCATTACAATTAAAAAAGTTTGCTTTTATTCATAAAGGTTGCAGTTAAATTAGTATTTCTTAATTGGTGTTCTTGAGACTTTCGTTATCTCTTCATGCAGATAAAACATGGGAATGCATTTGATGTAGCGAACATTACAACCACATTACTAATCTGCTGTCTCCATTTTTCTTGCCTTGTTTACTGTTGGTTACTAGTTTACAGACACACACACACACACATGCACGCACACACACATGTATATTAGTACTGCACACCATCAAATTTATCAACAGTCTTTTCACATTTTTGGGGTTTTATGTATCTTGTATTGTCATGTCTGTTGTAAATTAACATGACAGAAATCAAGACACATCATGAACACAGCAGAGTAACCACCTGTTCAGATTTGATGACTTGCTTCCTTCTCTTACAAATTAGCGGTTTACTAGAAAACTACATGGAGCAGTTCCTCCAGCTCAGTCATCAGGTGTCCTGGGGTCACTTTGAATCTATCTCTTTTAAATGTTGCTACCTATACCTTTAGACAGTTTACAGTAGTCAACATTTGAAGTGGATCAAAAAATGTGCCCACTGCTTGGATTAACCAATTCCCTCCCTCAAGCCTCTTTCCTGTATAAAATCATTTATGCTCCATTGATTCCATCCATTCATTCAAACCATTTGTCTCAGATTCTAGCTTTAAATTTGTCTCATATAATGGCCCTTGCAACTCCTCGACTTCTCCCCCTCTGCTGGTTCTGTCTAGCTCAGCCTTGAGCTTTCCAGCCCTTAACTCTTCCATGATGCATGGATTCTCTGGTTATGCTTCATTGCTCTGGGCCCATGCCTTTACCTCAGCCACTGATCCTCCTGGAAAAGGACTGGACACCCCTGAGACTAATGCCTGCCATGGACCAAGTGCCAGAGCCAGCCATTATGTTTCCGTCTGGAGCTAGAGTCTACCACCACTTTGTTCAGAAAAATGTGCCAACTGCATGGATTCTCCCAGAGCCACCAATCAAGGTGTCTAATTGACTAGGACAGAGAACCAATTGCCTCCCTTATTACTCTTTAGCTATAAACCTACTCTTTTGTTTGCCTTTTTCCCCTTTTGGTTTTGTCAAGGTCAGCAGCTCCCCTGGCGTTGTTTTGGGGCTTTCTTCTCCCACTCTCGGTTTTCTGGTTTGAACCCTGTATGGGCTCTTACTTTACCACTGCCTTTACTTCCAGGGTCCTTTTGTTTGATGTTTAATAGTGTAAGTTCTCCCTTCATGAATTCAGCTTTGCTCTCACAGAAATAATGTAAAATATTAAAATAGAAAACATTTCTGTTGTGGTATAAACTGCTGACTTGGATAGCATAAAATAATTTAAAAATACAGTAAAATTTATTTAAAACTTACTGACCCCAAACATTTAATGGTAATGTAAAACTTATTTTTACCTCCTAATGGTGGACCAGCCAGTCCTGCAAAGCTCTGAATGCAGACGTAGACACCAACAGCTAAGGGCATCCTCTGGATTCCTACAACGTCATCCTCTGCCAGCATTGGGATGTGTGTGGAAGCGATATTTCCGAGTAAGAAGCCATAAAGCACACAGCACACCACCAGTCCCCAGAAGCCATTTACTATGGTGAACAACACCAGCACCAGACACATCAGTGACACACATATGAGAAGAACAAAGATCTTCCTGATGCATCCACAATTCATGACCCATCCGATAGAAAGACGTCCAAAGATCTCTGAGATGGCCATTGTTGACAGCATATAGGCAGCCTTGTCCCTCTCAGTTCCCAAACTGGCACTCAGCTCCACCACATACAGCTGTGGCGCAAAAAAGCCCAATGTTGCAAAGAGCCCAAAGGCTGAATAACACAAAAAACCGCCTTCTTTTAGCACTGTCAAATCCAAGAGCCTATTTTTACTTGTATTGTCCTGTTGTTTTGGATTAACCTGTACTGGTTCCACTTCTTCCAGTTCAATCCCAGATTTGAGGCCCTGTTCTTGCTCAAGCGACTGTACAACTGAATCTCCAGAGCTCCCAAAACCTTGCACTTGTTCTCCAGGGAGGGTATAGGTGATCTTCTGCTCAGTTTCTGTCTGAGATGTTGGTTTGATAACTATGGGATGAAGTAAAGCTCCACAGATGATAGTGATGCCCTGTAACGTCCCAATCACCACAAATGTGTACCTCCAGCCGATGTAGTTCTTAAGAGCTGTGAATGCTACAGAGATAAAAAAGCAATGTGTGAGTCTGTACCCAGCAAGCATTTTCTTGTTTTTAAAAGATGTCTCATAGATGTCTAATAAACATCTAAACAGTTGTCTTGGGTAAAACAAGGCTAAATTTGGGCTGTCCGTGAAAATCTAAGAAATGTAGACAGAATAGGACAGACAGAAATGAATGAATACACATAAAGTCTGTCTATTTGACGACTAGTCTAGTTTTGGGCTATTTTTAGATGTCTATGGATTTTCACTGACAGCCCAAGATTAGCCTTGTTTTAGCCAGGCTGTCTACATTTATGTGTATTAGACGTCTTTTAAACACAAAGTTGATTGCTGGGTTGGATTGTAATATTATTTTTCATGATCACACATAACATGTAATGCTAGCATATTGTACTAGTGCCTGTTCTTACCTGGAGCAAAAGCAAATATAGCAAATGACTCTCCAGTGGATGCCATGGCTGTGACCACAGAACGACGCCTGCTGAAGTACTGGGACAAGATTGTGACGGTTGGTAGAAATGTCAAACAATAACCCAGTCCTACGGAGATTAAAGGACATCTGAAAATAATTAGATGTTCATCTTTACTTTCTTTACAGCCAGTAAATCAATCGTTATTTTTTGTTTTTATTGTGAAATAGACACAAAATTCAACCTGTAAATCAGCTTAAAGGGATAGTTAAACCAAAGAAAATTTTGTTATCATTTAATCATCCTCTGCTTGTTCAAAATTTCCAGATTGTTGAGTTTATTTCATATGGTGAAACGGACATATATTAAAGAATCTCAGAAACCGGAACCTAACATTTTTCAAAATGTGTTTCACTGAAAAGCTTTTGAACAGGTTTGGAACTGAAAAGGTTTGGAACAACCTTAGGATGAGAACATGTTAATTTTGAATTTTTTAACACTTTAACATATATTAACATGAGTAAGTATGCACAGGGCAAAAACAGTGACCAACATAACAACAGGGTAGTCAATTTAAACAATACACAAGGGTTGACATTAGAGTCCCATTCAAACATGTAAGCCTTTACATACCAGTCACAATCCCAATAGTAAGGTACATCTGATTGATAGAGCTGGTGAATGCTGTTGAGATTGTGCCCAGAGATATGAGAAACCCTCCAAACATCACAACAGGCTGGAAGCCAAATCGATTACTCAGCACGGTTGATAGAGGAGCTGAAGGGCCATAGAAATAAAAAAGACAACATGAAGCTGTTATTTTTTTGTGTTTAAAAAAGCTTTCCCATGCTAACTCAGCCTGAACAGTCTTTAGCCTTTCAAGAAGTGACTCGACTATGTCAAGACATCTTAAATTATTTATTTAAATAATTTTCTTTAAACCGTTAGAATAACTGGCACTTGGCATACTACCTAAAGGTACATATTTTTGTTAATTTGGTCTAATTGCTTCTATTGTTTTGCCTTTTCAATTTCGGAATAGCTAGAGATAAAAACATTGGCTAAATGATTTAATGTAAAAGTTGAAGTTCTCACCTGTGAAAGTCATAACAAAGACACATATTGAAATGATCCATGATACTCGGCTGTTTGTTTCATTAAAGTCACTCATTAGGTCCTTAAGGAAGATTCCAAAACTTTTGATAACCCCATAAGTGAACACCTCCACCAGGAAAAACGCCACAGCCACAATCCAACCCCAACAGGGCCGGAGTGGGACACCTTTTCAGCTCTGGAGTTTCAAGCCTCAGACCGGCCCACCTCAGTTCACGACTGACTAGGCTATATTAAAATAAGTAAATAAATAAATATTTCCAAATCAGTTTCAAATGACACTATCACGTCTTTTTTTTTTTGAGAAAACAGCTGCTTTAGAACTTCAAATGTTCAACAATCCTAACAGTATTATATGTCTTATCAATAAAATTGAAAACACTAAATTACTCTAACGAGGATCGAACCCGGGTCCGCAGCGTCTTAACCTAACGTGCTAACCTAACCTAACGTTATGTGGAGGATGACACAACTGAGTTTTATCATCATTAAAATAGATCAAAAGAGAAGAGTTGCGATATAATAATGAATAAAAAGGCTGTGGTCAAGTAAATAAATAAATTTAAAAAGTGTGATTGCTGAGAGCAACAGATTCTGGAGCTAGGGACACCGGCCCTCGTGGCCAAAAAACGGACCGGCCCACCGGGAATTCTCCCGGTCCTCCCGATTAGCCAATCCGGGCCTGAACCCCAACCACCATCTGGGACCTCGGAATAAACTTTAGAGCCAAAGCAACTTCTCAGTCGGAAAATCCACTGTGCCATTTTCACCTGCGACCTAGGAATGTGAAAGAGATTAATGTGAGCTAAATTGTGTTCTTAAGCAAATGAGCTTTTATAGCTGCTCATATCCTTCAGCATAAACTTTATTTAGAAACAACTCTTATTGTTCACCCCTAATAAAGAGACTTCTCCCCAATGCAACCAGGAAAATTTAAATTTTAGACAATGCTGAAGAAGGAAAAACCTAAACAAACATGGTTGATAAGTCTTTAAACAAATATTTTCAAACATCAAACAACTGCAATAATAGCTTAACGATTTCATTTATCAGGCTTGGGATAGAAGGTTTAGCTTTGGTATTGTGATGTGTGCCAAAGACCAGTGTTGTTTTGTTAAAATAGAGCTGAAATGTATAAGAACTGTACAAGATGACTATAAACTTGCAATAATAATGAAAATTAGAAATGTTGCGTTGGGAATTTACTCTTAATGCCAAATACCTAAAATTGGTCAAAGTGAAATTTAAGCTAATGCTAAATAATTAATATTAATAAATGAATAATTAATAGTAGGTATAATAGTATTTAAATAAAAGTAAACACTGCAAAAAACATTTAAATGATTAAACAGGTTTTAATATGCTCAATTATTTTACATAGTTACTTTATTGGTTAAATTTAGGCATTAAAACTTCAACTCTGTGACCATGTATTACATTATTTGACTTGGATGTTGTTTGTAGACAATTGCACACAAATTACAGTTCAGAAGCCTTCACTGCTGGCCCAAACACTGATGACCAAACATCAGAATCACTTATTTCAATATATTTTTCCATGTCTCATGTACAAAGGAAAGAACAGAGGGGTCTGACTGTCCATTACATGCAGATTCGTGGTTCAAAAAACCCACCTCTCACTAACAAAAGTCCAAAGTTTGTCCCATACATTAGCTCATTTGTCCTAGTTTGACTGCTATGCCATCATAAATAGTAAAAATTAACCCATCAAACAAGGCTTGAAGACCAAGCAGAATCCTGGAGTCCAACATCCAGCTGTGCAAGAAAACATCTGACATAAGCAGTCATATTTCACTACCATAGTGTTTTTAAATAGAGAAAACATTTGACAAGTAACTTTTATTCAAATCTTGGAAAAAAAGTATGAAGCACTTTTTCACACCAATTTTTGAAAAGTGGCCAGTTTGCTCTTTGCCTAATAAATTACAAAAGGCTAAAATGTAAAACTTTTTTGATAAATATAATGTAGCAAATTTGTAATATATGTTTGGTACTGTACATCAAAAACTGTGGTTATGTTGACCATCCGATAAGTTAGTCCAGCCAAATAGTGCTTAAAATGTCACCAAAATGTAGCATTTAAATCTCATAATTAAATAAAAAAATAAGGCGAATAACTGCAAAAATGTCCACTTCTTAAGAAAAAAGAAGCATTCCTTTCAACAGACTGGCTAGTCTACGGGCCTGATATGTAATCAGTCTACAATCCGACAGGGCATGCGCGCTCTAGAAATCTGAAAAGAGGCGTGGCCACATGGATACGTCATTAGAGAGGCGGCGGGAAACGAGTGTCAACAATCTGATGCGATTAGATGTAAACAACGACTGAACTACTTTCACATAAATCATCGAACAGCATTAGGTGAGAAACAAATTCTCGAAATATTATAATAAGTTATAAAATAACTTTTGACAGTATTCAAATGATATGCCATTTAACGTGTATTATTAGTCTTTATAAAATAAAGAGCTCACAATGTTTCAGAACGTTATATCCTCATCATATTAACGTTACGTTACTAAGCGTAACCCTTACGAGAGTTAACATTGGTATCACAACAAATATAAAATAGTTAAACCGCAAATTACCTTTGCCACGCTTACCATAGTTTATTGATAATGGTTTTCAAAGTATGTAAATAAACAAATGATAGTCAATACGACAAAAACATGGTCACTACTACACTTTTACTTTAATAAAACATGCGAAATATTTCTAATTGTATTGTTGTAAATCCTCAAAGCATCCTTAAGAATTACTTAGTGGTATGCATTAAATATATCGAGTATAATGAATAGATTAATGTTTCCCAAGTCACTTCAGTCAGCATGTTGTCAAATGTCAGTAAAAATATTAGTTAGCAAATATTATAATCCAGCCGTTTTTCACCATCTTCTCTATTAGAATAAACGTCTTTTCTCTGTGCCACGTGGTCTTTATGATCTGTATGTGTGTGTGTGTGTGTGTGTGTGTGTGTGTGTGTGTGTGTGTGTGTGTGTGTGTGTTTGTGTCTTCTGCGGTTTGCACCTAACCCACGTCAATTGTGTTACTAATAGTCATTCAACCATATTGTAGTTCAAAGAAAGAAAAGAGCACTTACCTGCTCCTGAGTGAGGGCTTTACTGGAGCTCCAGGGCTGTGCTGGGGTCTGTTCACTGCCAGGAGTTCATGTGGTGTCTCGACATTGAGCTCCTCTGTGGTGGGAGGTTACAGCTGTTGAGTAAGTTGAGGATTGGTTTACAGTCAACGTTGAATGAAATGCACCCCCCCACACACACATACACACATAACACACTCCCTGGAGCTAGAAGGCCAGAGGAAATGGCTGTGTCTCTTGTTGCCCGCTGTAGAGTAACACTGGTTCTGCAGGAGGGACTGTGCTAAATGTTTTAAAATTTAAAAGGACTGGTGCATTATGTAAAGTTTATTACATAACAGCCAGCAAGATCTGCTCAGGCCTTCCCGAACTTCCTCAGATCTGAAAACCCTTGCTGGATAGAAAGATTTAATTGTTATTAAAATAATAAAATAATAAAAAAAAGATTATTATTAGGATATTAAAATAACCATTAATTGAATAGCATTGTGTTAAATGCATGTTGGATGGATAATGAACCATTATGCAAAATTTTAGTTTTATTAAAATATAATTTAAATGGTAAGTTTATTAGTGATTTAGTGATTTTTAATATGGCTGTTTTACTAATTTCTGCTATAAAAAATAAGTAAAACTAAATCAAATGTTTTTCTTTTTTTCAGTTAATGTATTATGTTGCAAAGAAAGTATTTTACATTTTTAATATTTTTGTTCATTTGTATTTAGAGTAATATATTTTTAGTTTCAATGTTTTGTAATATAGTTTTAATTTTTTTTTAATAGTTATAAAGGTTGTTTTTTATATATGTCTGTTTCTTTTCATTTCTATCTTAGCGCATCGTGATTAACTTAGTTATTTTGTTTAAGTATTTATAGCAGTTTTTTATACTTAAATATTTTAAAATTGTTTCATAGTTTAATGTTAAATTAATTAATTATAAGTTTAAAGTTTCCAATAGTTAAAGTTATTTATTTATTTTCTAATTGTGTCGTTTCTTTTCATTTTATTTACATTTCTAATTAATTTAGTAAGTTAAAATAAATAAAAATGAGAAATAACGCTTTGGAAATAAAATTACATTTTATTTTATATAACATACATTTTTATTTATTTAAAGACAATGTTATTATTATTATTATTATATAAAATATAATGTTAATTCATTTTTTTAATTTGACTTAACAAATTTGCAAGTAAAGAGTTTTAATTTATATATTTCATTAACTTTAATTTTTGCCTCAGTGGTTAGCACTGTTGCCTTATAGCAAGAAGGTCACTGGTTCAAGTACCGGCTGGGAAAGTTGGCATTTCTATGTGGAGTTTGCATGTTCTCCCTGTGTTGGCGTGGGTTTCCTGCGGTTTCCCTCACAGTCAAAGGCATGCAGTATATGTGAATTGGAAAAACAAAAACTGGCCATAGTGTATGTGTGTGTGTGTGTGTGAATGTGACAGTGTATGGGTGTTTTCCAGTACTAGGTTGTGACTGGAAAGGCATCTGCTGTGTAAAACATATGCCCGAATAGTTGCCTTTTCATTCTGCTGTGGTGGCCCCTGAAAAATACTAAGGGACTAAGCCGAAAATAAATTCATTCATTCATTCATTTTCTTTTCGGCTTAGTCTATTTATTAATCTGGCATCTCCACAGTGGCGCCATCTTATCCAGCATATATATTAAACGCAGCAGATACCCTTCCTGCGGCAACCCATCTCTGGGAAACATCCATACACACTCATTCACTACGGACAATTAAGCTTACACAATTCACCTGTTCCACATGTCTTTGGACATGTGGGGAAACCGGAGCACCCGGAGGAAGCCCACACAAACACAGGGACACAGGGAGAACATGCAAACTCCACACAGAAATGCCAACTGACCCCAGGCGAGGCTCAAACCAGCAACCTTCTTGCTGTGAGGCAACAGCACTACCTACTGCGCCACTGCGTCTACCCGAAGGTAAATGAATGAATAAATAATTTTAATTGCCTCGCATGAAAGGATCTTGATTTACTAGTTTGATCGTTTTGTAAATTTTTTCACCCTGTGCCAGAATGCTGTCATGTATCAATCACAATATTGCTATCCTTCAGTCAAATAGCATAATTTAAATGACCGGTTTCTTCTTTATCTTTCAGATTTGACATTTAAATGGCGCAGTTGGGATTTTGTACACTGCTTGTTTTTTCCGGCCTGCTCCATCACATCAAAAGCCATATTAAAAAAGAAGACAACCCTGAAGGGAAGGAACGACCCAATTTCATCATTATCTTAGCTGATGATATTGGATGGGGAGACCTCTGGTTAAACAGGCCTGACAACTCCACACCAACACCCTGGCTGGACTCATTAATGCTGAAGGGCAAACGGTAGAGCTCTCATTATAATTTGTCCATATATGCCACAGTTTTGTTCCTGATCATGTCTAATTATGGGTGTTTGTGTCTGTTGATTCGCAGATTCACAGACTTCCACTCTCCTGCCTCCACATGTTCTCCATCTCGCGCCTCCATCCTGACCGGCAGACACGGCCTACGCAATGGGGTCACTCATAATTTTGCAGTAGGGTCAGTAGGAGGATTACCTCTTAATGAGACCACGTTTGCTCAGCTCCTGCATGATGAAGGTTATTACACAGCTATGATCGGTAAGCACAGCAGCTACAAGAACATGGAGAGAACAATTCAATTTACATCCTGAGAACTGTCAGAGCAACACCGCGCTCCTGATTAATAATTGCGCATCATCGCAAGTTGTTGCAGGATTTTTTTTCAGTTGCAGTTATTTATATGGTTTGTTTTGATTTTAAAACAGGAAAATGGCATCTTGGACACAATGGTTCTTACAGTCCTGTTCATAGAGGTAAAATGCTGCTATATATATCAATATATATTTCATATCAGAAAGATATATCATTAATTAATTATGCATTTATTATTTATTTTTATACAAACAATTTTTAAACAGTGACTCAGCATGAAATTGATTTTTATTTCTTAATTCATTTTGTTTAATTATTATATTATAATTAATATATTTTTTTAAGTTTAAAGATGAGGTAAAGTTAGACATTTTTTGTTTCGTTGGCTTAAAAGGATAGTTCACCCCAAAAATAAAAACTTTACACACTCTAGTGGTTCTAAAACTTGGAGTTTCTTTTTTTGTTGATATTACAAGATATTTAAAAAAATGTTGCAAACCAGTAACCATTGACTTCTGTAGTAGTAAAAAACAAAAACATTGAAAGTCAATGGTAACCGGTTTCTGAGCAATTCCATGCAAATGTCAACCTTGCCATAAAAAAAAAATACATTTTTACCAAAATAGCAAAACCTTTTCCAAGTCTTTTTGTGTAAGCAAGTATTTTACAGGACTTTAAAAATACTCAGTTAATGTTTTCAAACTATTATATTTGATTTACCAAAGTCACACAAGTGCCAATTTCACATCTGTTACATCCATAACGGAGAAACGTCACATCCATAACCAAGCTTTTTCCTCATAAATGCAAAAATGTAAATTAAAATAAAATTAATCATGGTTGTTCTATAGAGAGCAACTCTTATGCTGTTGATTAGCATTATTTCTTTTGGGTTGTCCAGTTAAATTAACAGAATTTCTACAAAGTATGTTGTATACTATAAACTCGCTGACTTTTTTGGTCACATCCATAATGTATGCTTATTTTCCTCATTTAAAATATAAAACAGCTTTCAGACCGATGTTTGTCTGTTCGCATAGCTATGTGGTTAGTAGTTTTGGATAATATAAACAGATGTTTCAATATAATGTAAATTGACATACTTTCTCTGAATTTATGTTTTGACTTTTTACTTCAAATGTCACATCCGTAACACTGGAATTGCAACATTTTTTCAAAATATCTTATTTTGTGTTTAACAGAAGAAAGCAGGACGCAGCAAAGAATGTCACTTATCAATTAAAGCTTTATTATTTTATGCCACAGCCTTATATTTAAAAGGGAAACAAAAGGGTGATCATAAGCAAAAAGACCTGTATAGCCTACAAGGGTATATGTTTTCTTTCCCTTATTTATTTATTTGTTCATATGTATTCGTGTGCGATCGGAAAACTATTGTAATGATGGCATGCCATCTTTACCAGACTCGGAAAAAGTCTGCCTTTCTCATTTCACTCCACCTTGAAGCCTTAGCTGGCCCTCTTTGGCCCAAGGTATTCGGCAGACCGAAAAAGGCCAGTCACTGGCCCTGAGAAAGCCCTGCTTTGGCCTGATCAGACCCCGGAAGTGACAGTGGAAACGCGACTGGCCTTGGCTCGCCCTGGCTCGCTGGCTTTAGGTGCTGAAAACGTGGCCATTGATGACAGAATTTTTCTTTTTGGGTGAACTATCCCTTTAAAGGCATGTGACCAGTTGGAGACTGACAAAAATTTACATTTATGTACCATATTTACCTTTATTATATAAAAATTTTACCTTTTTATGAACATTTTACAAAAATAAAAAAATTTTGACCTTTATTTATTTATTTATTTATTTATCAATGGCTTTGTATTATTATTAAACTCTTTACGATAAATCCCTTGCTGTATTTTGCATATAGCTAAAAGCTTCTGCTTTTTACGAATGAATGTAAATGTATTACAGTACCTCTATTTTAAGCTATTTCCTCAAGATACTTTTTACTATTTTATGTTTGAACTTTAGGTTTTGACTATTACCTGGGTATTCCCTACAGTAATGACATGGGCTGCACTGACAAACCAGGCCTTGACCTTCCCAGCTGTCCTCCCTGTGTACATAGTCAGTATAGTATTAATAAGTATGTATTAATATACTCTTCATTACAATAAAAAAAAAAACATATTTATTAGGTATAGTTGGGGAAATAAGTATTTAACACGTCACCATTTTTCTCAAAAAAAATTCCATTGGTGCAGTTGACTTGAAAATTTCACCAGATGTTCACATATTTCAACATATTTCAACACATCACCAAAGAAATACATATTTTAAACAAATCTAGTTTACAAATGAAGTTATGTGTATTAAAATGAAATGACACAGGAAATAATTATTGAACACATGAAGAAAGGGAGGTGTAGAAAGACAGTGAAAGCCTAGACAGCAGCTGAAATCTTTCAGTTGTTATTGTAAATTAATATGAGCTGCTTCAGTCCAACATTTACATTACCAGGATGATGAAGATGAAACCAGGGTAAATATTTCAGGAAGATAATTATCCAAAACACAGCCAAGGAAACTCTCAGATGCTCTTAGAAAAAGAGGATGGGCAGAGGGTTGATGAAGAACTACTGAGAGATTTCAGCTGCTGTCTGGGCTTTCACTGCCTTTCTACACCTTCCTTTCTTCATGTGTTCAATACTTTTTTTCTGTGTCATTCTCTTTATTACACAATTTAATTTGTAAACTAATTAGATTTGTTTTCTTTCCAAATATGAATTTCTTTGTTCATCAACATCTGGTCAACAGCACCTTTAGAAATATGTTTTCTGAGAAAAATGGCGACATGTTGAATGCTTATTTCCCCCACCGCATATAGTCTGATGTTTTGTATACACCTCCAGCTTTACTGAATTAGGTCAAATATTCACTTTACAGGAAGCATGAGGGATGCTACACCAAAGTGGGATTACCTCTGTTTGAAAATGAGAAGATTATTGAGCAACCCTTGGACACATGGAGCCTTAAAGACAGATATGCAACAGCGGCAGTCCAGCAGATTTTCACAGCCAGGTATGTCACAATATGTATGGTTATATATAGAAATTCATATACAGCAGGGAAAAAAAGTACTGAACACGTCATGTTTTTTTTCCCTGGGAATAGTATTTTTAAAGAAGCTGTTGACATAGAATTGAACCAGATTTTGTTAAAAACCCAAACAATACAAGCATAGAAATAAAACAAAACAAATAAAATCTGAAAAATGAGTTATGTGTAATAACAATGAAATGACACAAGGAGAACCTACTGAACTACTGAAACGAATTTAATACCTTATATTAAAGGCTTTTTTTTTGTGATGGCAGCTTAAGGACGCCTCTCATATGGAGAAGGATGTCACATGCATTGCTCAGGTGTGAGTTTTTACAGACTTTTGCAGAATGTAAAGATCTTGATGGTTCTGTGGGTCTCGTCTATCAAATCTGATCTTTAATATTTTCGATTGGATTCAAGTCAGGTGATTGGCTGGGTCATTCTACAGCTTGATTTTCTTTTTTTTTTTTAAGCATTTTTGAGTTTCCTTGGCTGTGTTTTGGATTATTGTCCAATTTGTATACACCTCCAGCTCCAACTGGATTTCCAACTCCAATTGGATTATTGATGAAATGTTCACCCTGGTTTCATCTTATTAATTTACAATGAGGAAGGGCAGAGTGTTGCTAAATAACTACTGAGAGATTTCAGCTGCTGTCTGGGCTTTCACTGCCTTTCTACACCTCCCTCTGTTTATGTGTTCAATACTTTTTCCTTGTGCCATTTAATTTTATAACACATAATGTCATTTGTAATCAAATTCGATTTCATGTCTTTTCATGCAGTGTTTGGATTTCTTTTGTTATTACATCCAGTGAAAATTCAACGGCACCTATAGAAATATGTTTTCTGAGAATAATGGTGACATGTGCAATGCTTATTTTTCCCCACTGTATTCTGTTTTCTGTCAAACTCGAATCAAATATAATATCAACATGGTTTACCTTCCAGTCAAACTGAATGTGCATTAGTATTACTTGAAAAAAGAGCTTTTCCACTCGTCATGGAGTTTCTTGAACATTATGGAATTTTAAAAGGTCAATTCCTGAGACTGAAAATCTGGAAATTTGTTTAGGAATTTCCTGTATAATTTTATGTATTTAGTTATATTTATAAATGTATTTATTTATAAATGTATTATTCCAAGTCAGGAAATATCAGTGACTTTTTGTTTTCTGTTTATCAAAGTTTAACTCTTTTATTCAGTTAATTTCTTTATCATATCATGTTTTATTACAAAATCCACATTCTGCCTATTGTTATGGTTAGGCTATTTTCAGCACTATTTTATATCTTTTCTGCTTATCTCATTCTCAAGGCAAACATTCCAAAAAATTAAATGAAAATATCAAAAGCTTTAGGTACTAAATATTTTAGATGGCTTCAAAGATTTGGGTGCACTTTTTTATTTTTTTTATTTCTTTTCAAAATCAGAAGTTATTATCCATTTTACACTCAAAATGGCAATTACATTTATGAAAAATAATATTCAAATCATGGAAATTCAGTGTTTTAGTCAGTGAAAGTCGGGGAAAGTTCATATATTTTTACATTTAGCTAATAATTGGAACCTTGTCTAAAATATGCTCTATTTATAATAATATTTTTGTTATAAAATTATATTAAAGCTCTTGTACGTCCCTGTAAAATATATGTGAAATTAAAACATTGTTTTAGAAGTTTTATCCTCAGTGCCAGTGTTTTGCTGCTCTCAAGGGCAACTGTTTTCTAGACTTTGATCAGTCAATATAAGGTCTGCAGTCTGTAAACAAGTGTACTGGGCAAGCAAAGTTGCAGTGTTGGCCTTTGACACAGTCTTACGATAGATCATCATATGGACTGTGCGCAGACAAGCCTTATCAATTTCTCATTTCAGCATTGCACTTACGCAGATTTAAGTTCTGTGACTGCTTTAAATCCAGTGTAACTGTGGCCATTTCTTCACATAAATCTATCAGTTTTTTGGCATTTAAAATAAGTTGTTTCATGTTGTACAGTAACTGATAAATGGCAGAAAATTATGTTGGGTATGCGTATATGCATACAATTCTGTCTAAATAAATGAAAAATAAAGCACCTCTACATTATAATGTACTGTATAGAATATGGGTATTTATTTTGAGTTATTAAAACTTATTTATTATGCTTAAACACTAAATTTATTTGTATATTAGATCATTTACATATGTTTACATTAAAGTATGATAGTTATTATTAGAGTTTGAGGTATTAATTTAAAACACAAATGTGACATTTAAATGATTTAAAACGCTTTTTCTTTGACCCACATATAGTGTCATCTTGGATTGCTATCATCTGATACCAATATGTAGCGGTTCAAAAGTTTACTGGTCAAAGTATTTGAATTTTTTCTTGGAGTTTTTTTTAGTCTATTGATTTTTCAAAGAATCCTAGTATGAAAAAAAATACTAGTATGTATGACAGAAACAATTTCTGTAATCAAAGGCATAGATTACATTTATAAAATTCAGGTAGAAATCTTTTAAGAACTTAAATGAAAAAAGGTCATTTGAAACTGTACCATTATTTCAGAATTTCAGTGAATTTGAAACACAGACACACACACACACACACACACACTCGCACGCACACACACACACTCACACACACACACACACACACACACCAGCCACTTTATTAGTTACACCTTACTAGATCTGGATTGGACCCCTTTTGCCTTCAGAACTGTCCTTTGTGGCATAAACTCAACAAGGTACTGGAAATGTTGGTCCCTATTGACATGATAGCATCACACAGTTGCTGCAGATTTGTTGGCAGCACATCTATGATGCGAATCTCCCGTTCCACCACATCCTAGAGGGGCTCTATTGGATTGAAGTCTGGTGATTGTGGGGGCCATTTGAGTACAGTGAACTTATTGTCATGTTCACGAAACCAGTCTGAGATAATTTGCGATTTATGACATGTTGCGTTATCCTGCTGTGGATGGTTACACTGTGGCCATAAAGGGATGGACATGATCAGCAACAATACTCAGGTAGGCTATGGTGTTGACACGATGCTCAATTGGTATCAGTATCGCAGCAGAAATCGAGATTCATCATACCAGGCAACTTTTGCAATCTTCTATTGCCCTATCTTGGTGAGCCTGCGCGAATTGTTGCCTCAGTTTCCTGTTCTTGGCTGACAGGAGTGGCACCCAGTGTGGTCTTCCGCTGCTGTTGCCCATCCACCTCAATGTTGGACATGTTGTGTGTTCAGAGATGCTCTTCTGCATACCTCTGTTGTAACGAGTGGTTTGAGTTACTGTTTCTATAAGCTCAAACCAGTCTGGTCATAATCCTCTAACCTCTGGCATCTCAAGGCATTTGTTCCCACAGAACTGCCACTCACTGGATACTTTCTGTTTTTCGGAGCATTCTCTGTAAACCCCGGAGATGGTTGCGCATGAAAATTAGATCAGCAGTTTCTGAAATACTTAGACCAACCTGTCTGCCACCAATAACCATGCCAGATGCAAAGTGACTTAAATCAACTTTCTTTCCCTTTTTGATGCTTGGTTTGATGCAGAAATGTGTGTTAATTAGCAGTTGGATAGGTGTACCTAATAAAGTGGCAAGTGATTGCATATTACAAATTTTGAACAGTGGTGTCAAATAAAAATTTGTAGCGATACAGTATGATTCCGTTAATACTATATGTTTTATGTTACTATGTGTTTGTAGTGTTACTAAGAAGCAGCCGTTCCTCCTATATGTGGCTCTCGCTCACATGCATGTGCCGCTGTTCCATAACACCTTCCTAAATGTCACAACTGAAGACCCCTACACAGCCAGTCTCAGTGACATGGACTCACTTGTGGGCAATATCGTGCAGGCGCTCATCACTGAACAGTTGGAAAACACCCTCATATGGTTCACTGGTAATTTATTTCACACATATTTCATGCAAAGTTCTGGCCTAAAGGCTCTGCTTAATAGAATTGCAATTTTATAAAAAAATAAATCCATTTCTAAGGTGACAATGGCCCTTGGGAGCAGAAATGCCTGTTTGCTGGGCATGTTGGGCCTTTTGTTGGAAGATGGCAGACAAATAAAGGTAATGCAGATCATTTACCATAAATAATGATACCTTTAACTAGAGGTTGTTGGATTGATCGTCTAAGATAGTATTGTAATAAATTTAAAAAAATAAAATATTCTAAAGTACCTGTTTTAAATCAGCTGAAACAACACAATTATTGAGTTTTTTGCAAAAACTGAATTGCTTTATGTTCAATACACTTACATTTGTAAAAACTAATACTTTTTTAAACAATCTCTCTTTTGAGATGTAATAAAAAGACAATACAACATCACTTATATTTACATTTTAGGGCTGTCAAATGATTAAAAAAATTAACGTGATAAATCACACTTTTTTTTATTATTTTCATTCATCATTTATCATGATTAATCACGAAATGCCGTATTTATTACTGAAGTAAAAACACAGGCATGTAAGTGCCATTTAAATTTCAAAACCATCCATGCAAATAACAAACAAAACTCATTTCCATGTTGGATTGTAAGTGGACTACAAACACACACACACACACACAAGCACACACACACACACATACACAGAGAAACAATGCATGCAGTGCTGATGAGCGAGAGGGATCCCTTCAGACTCATCAACACGCACGTGCGCGTTCATCAAATTTACTTAAACTAAGCATTCTTAAGTATGGCTGTATTTAAAAAGCAAAGATTCTGAAAGAGGAACATGAAGCAGACACTTTACAAAAGGGGGGAAACACATCAAAGTTATTGAAACATTTGAGGGACGCAGCTTAAGGGCAAAGAAATGTTTTTGACAGCTTGTGAATCCATCTGGCACTTTCATTCACATGGACACCAATACTCAGCTTTGATAATTAAGATAATACTGATCAAGAGTCGACCATGTAAGCAATGATTTCTGATTATCTTGAATGACCATGCGAGTCCTGAAATGAGGAGGTTTTTCTTTCCGTTCGCCATGTGTTATCAAATTCCATTAAAACATCCTAAATGAAAATATGCTGAATGAGAGTGAACTGCCGAACTGCAGTTAAAGTCTAAATATTAAAAATGAAATTGCATGAAACTCTGGAGGAAATGCCATATTTCTTTGCACGTTTAACAAACGCAGGGCCAGAGCAAGCTGAACTGGCGCTCTAGGCAAATGGCAATCATGACCTTTTATTCATATGGAAGGCAGAGTGCCGTGAGGGTGTGGGTGGGTGTAGCGGATGAATGTGAGGACCGGGGGGTCTACTCGCTATTCTGCTGCCCAAGGCAGGTCGCCTCTATAGATGCGCCAACCCTAAACACACGTTGGCCACAACAGGAAATAAAAAAAACTGCAACTGCGTTATTTGCGTTAATTTTTTTAATATATATATATATATATATATATATATATATATATATATATATATATATATATATATATATATATATACATATATATATATACACACACACACATATATACACACACACACACACATATATATATATATATATATATATATATATATATATATATATATATATATATATATATATATATATATATATATATATACAGTTGAAGTCAGAATTATTAGCCCCCTTTTGATTTTTTTGTTCTTTTTTAAAAATTTCCCAAATGATGTTTGACAGAGCAAGGAGATTTTCAAAGTATGTCTGATAATATTTTTTCTTCTAGAAAAAGTCTTATTTGTTTTGTTTCGGCTAGAATAAAAGCAGTTTAGATTTTTTTTTTTACTATTTTTGGGACAAAATTATTAGCCCCTTTAAGCTACATTTTTTATCGATATTCTACAGAACAAATCATCGTTATATAATATTTTGCCTAATTACCCTAACCTGCCTAGTTTACCTTATTAACCTAGTTAAGCCTTTAAATGTCCCTTTAAGCTGTATAGGAGTGTCTTGAAAAATATCAAGTAAAATATTATTTACTGTCATCATAGCTAAGCTAAAATAAATCAGTTATTAGAAATAGGTTTTTAAAACTATTATGCTTAGACATGTGCTGAAACAATCTTTCCTCCATTAAACAGAAATTATGGAAAAAAATAAACAGGGGCGCTAATAATTCAGGGGGGCTAATAATTCTGACTTCAACTGTATATATATATATACATATATATATGGATAAGTTGGCGGTTCATTCTGCTGTGGCGACCCTGGATTAAGAAAGGGACTAAGCCGACAAGAAAATGAATGAATGAGTGAATGAAAAGAACAAATGAAGTAAAGGACTAAATGGCAAAAAATCACTATTAAAATTCATAAGTAATCTACCCAGCTGAGCATGTAATTTATAAAAAGAAATTGTATCTGATTCTGAGAATTTAAAAAAAACTGGTTTACTCTAATTACAAGAACTGGAATTTTGAAACCTGATTGTATAATCCAGATTACATAGAATCTGTTACTACCCAGCTCTGCATGCAACATAAACAGAAGATAAGTAAACATTCAAGTGTTTTCAGTGATTTTGTGCTTACTCATGACTTTTGAGTTTCAGATAACAAAACCATTTACTTGAACGATCTTGTTTTCATTCTTGCGAGCAGGTGGCGGATCAGCAAAGAGAACCACATGGGAAGGAGGTCACCGTGTTCCCACAGTCGTCTCATGGCCTAAGAAGATCAAACACAACAGCTCAAGTGATGCCCTGCTGAGGTACTGCAAGAAATCAACATTGTGTAACATCGTTGTTTTTGGTTTTCAGCATATGAATACTGTTTTGTTCTCCTTTAGTGGTCTGGATATCTTTCCAACTGTCCTCTCTCTGGCTGGGGTCAAACCTCCATCAGATCGACGCTATGATGGCATTGATATTACTGATGTTCTGCTCAACGACTCTGAAACAGGGCATGAGGTAAAGTCTGTGGGGGTGACATCAATTAAGAGAGCAGTATTTAAATGAAGTTTGCTGTGAAATGCTTTCTGTTTTTATTATTAGAGTCTCATGCATCCAAACAGTGGCGCTGCAGGACAATATGGTGACCTTCAGACTGTCAGACTCAAACATCACAAGGCATTTTACATCACAGGTCAGGTTTAAAATTAAATGGAAGAATACATTTATTTATGAATTAAAATGTGAACAATCTAATGTTTTGAATTGAGTTATAGATATTCGTTTAACTGAAAAGGTGTAAATGAATGTTTGACTGTTAATTCAAAATGAAAGATCACATTTTATAAAAACAAATATAATTGGCTTAAAAACGCTTTTACGGGTAATTCACATTTTTAAAACTAGCTGATGCAATTAAAATAAAATAAGTTGATTTTGAATTGATTAGGAGACATGTTAAACTATTTAATTCATGAGTAAATAAACATGCATGTCTATCAAACACTGACTGATAAATTAAATACAATGCATAAATAAAACATGTTTGAAAAATGTTGAAAATCGGGTCAGATGTCATTTGGGCTGCTTTCTTTTTTGTAAATTAATAAATAAAGTGATAGATAGGGGTTTTAAAATACGTACTTTATTTGAAATTTATTCATAAATGGAGACACTTTTTAAACCCTTTTTGTGGTGGAAAATATTGAGTGTTTTCTCTTCATTAAACACATACAGTTACGGATACTAAAAGGTAAATTTCAGTTAAATATATAAAACCTTCATAATAAATAAATAAATAAATCACAATTTTAATAATAGATAAATGGATATTTAAAAATGTTACATGTAATGGTCAAATTATAAGTTATTTACTAGTTTTATATTCATTAGTAGACATATTTCAAACCATATTTAATTCATGGTTAAAATATTAATTAAATGGTTGATTTACCTTACTTTTCTTGTTCTAAACCTTTATGAGTTTCCATCTTCTATTGTACTCAAAAAAATATATTTTGAAGGAAGTTAACCATTGACTTCCATAGTATTTGTTTTTCCTACTATAAAAGTCAATGTTTTTTATCTATCTTCAAAATATCTTCTTCTGTGTACAACAGAAGAAAGAAACTCATGAAGGTTTGGAACCACTTGAGGGTAAATTTTCTGTTTAGGGTCAACTATCCCTTTAAATCTAAGCACTAAGTAAGAGTGCACCCATGTTTGAGCTGTTTACATATACAGTTGAAGTCAGAATTATTAGCCCCCCTTTTAATTTTTCTCTTTTTTTAAATATTTACCAAATGATGTTTAACAGAGCTAGGAAAATTTCACAGTATGTCTGATGTTATTATCTTCTGGAGAAAGTCTTATTTGTGTATTCTAACTAGAATAATGCAGTTTTTAATTTTCTAAACACCATTTTAAAGACAAAATTATTAGCCTCTTTAGGCTTTTTTTTTTTGATAGTCTACAGAACAAACCATCATTATACAATAACTTGCCCAATTACACTAACCTGCCTAGTTAACCTAATTAATCTAGTTAAGCATTTAAATGTAACTTTAAGCTGTATAGAAGTGTCTTGAAAAATATCTATATAATATTATGTACTGTCATCATGGCAAAGATAAAATAAATCAGTTATTAGATATGAGTTATTAAAACTATTATATTTAGAAATGGGTTGAAGAAATCTTCTCTCTGTTAAACAGAAAAAAATTAAAAGGGCTTATAATTCAACTTCAACTGTATATGTATATATTATGTATGCCCGAGATTATTAACACCTCTTGCAAATTCTGACTTAGTTATTTTTATTCAATCAGCAAGTTTTTTGTTTTTTTTGGAAATGACACAGGCTGCGTCCGAAACCGCCTACTTCTCAGTAGGTACTGCATTTGAATTTAAACGTACTACTCGGCCGTTAGAAAAGTACGTTCTATACAGTATGAATGTGAAAAGTATGAATGGAATTCGGACGTACTACATCCGCCATTTTGTCATGGTCACGTGACCTACCTGCGTCAGTTGCGTCGCTTTACTTCCATTCATTAATTCTCTCGCGGGGCATCATGGGATAGCGCAGCATGCATGGGATGCGCACTCCGGAATCTCGCCGGAAGTAGTAAGTCATCCGGGTACTTCTCGCATACTGATTTTCAAATTCTATGAATTCGGACATACTACTCGGCTCGCATACTGATTTTGGCGTACTATATAGTATGGAAGTATGCGGTTTCGGACGCAGCAACTGTCTTCTTATTATCTTTAAAAGATAATAAGACGATGTACAAAAGGCATCATTATGCAAGAAAATATTTACATTTAAACAAAAACTTTAATATTTATATTTAATTGAAAAAAATCTTTAAATGATCATTTTTATTTAGTTATTTGCTCAATTAATCTACTGTTTCTGCTTGTTTTATTAACCCTGATGTGCTCTCTCAGGCGGATCAGTGGCATGTGATGGAGAAAGTGGACCTCAGCAACATCACGACCCTCCATTGATATTTGACCTCTCTCAGGACGAGGCAGAAGAGACGCCTCTGGACCCCGAGAGCAAGGAGTTCAGATCTGTCCTGAAGCAGGTGGAGAGGGAGAGAGAGGCTCTGCTCTGGGACATCGCCACAGATCGAGTCTCAGCGGCCGATTACACTGTCATTCCCTCTGCTGAGCCCTGCTGTGAGCCACAAAACCCCGTCTGCCGCTGTCACCGCCTGAAATGAGGTCAGTGGCTCAGCACTGCTGCACAACTCATTATTAGAATTAATTAATAATGTTGTGTTTAAAAAATACAATTATTGGTTGCTGATACAAACAGATTACAAACAGATTGACTATGTTGGATTTTAACTAATATTAAGAGATTTAAGATAAGTCTTTTGTTGCTCCAGAATGTGTCTGTAAAGTTTCAGCTTAAAACACCCATGAGATTTGTTCAAGAGTTTACACTTTTGCTGATGATTGATTGTAAAGCTTGTTTGGCATGCTGTTCCGGGGGAGAGCCCTGAGCTTGTAAGATCCTCGAGCCCGGGGCTTCCTCTCGTTTGCAAGGTGAGAGGAGAGTTTGAGCTCAGGTAGATCTTGAGAACTCCTCTGCTGTAGTAGCTAATGAACAGATAGTGATTGCTCTTAAGATATAACTACTTACTAGGAGCATGTTTATGATGCCAATTTGGATTAGTCAATTAACTTAAGTTGAATGTTTTTGGACGGTGGGAGGAAACAAGGGAACCCAAGGGAAACCCACGTAAGCATGGGGAGAACTCTAAGGCCCCGTTTACACTAATGCGTTTTAGTTTGAAAATGGAATGTGGATGGAATGTTTTTTAAGAGGTTGTTTTATTTGTTTTTGTTTTTTGGTAATTAAACTGAAATGTTAAATGAACTTGTGTCTTTGTTTTAAATTGATTTATATCACTTAACATAAGGTTTTCAAAATCTAAATCTAAATAATTTAATCTAAATAATTTTAGGCAATAATTTTAGTGACACTGGGAAACAACTAAATCCCAGTTTAAAATAGTACTGGATAAAACCCCTTTCTAAGTAGTGCATTTATAAATAGCCAGTAAAAAAAAACAAAAACAAAAACAAACAAAAAAACAAGAAAAAATTACAAAAACATTACTTGTCTAATGACATTTAAAGCATTTGAATCCATTAGAATGCTGATTCACCCATTACCTAAATGAAACTTTTGATTACGTTTAAATGCTTTTTTATTCTAAACACCAGTAGCAAAATGTAGAATGATCCACCTCAATGATCACCTTGTTTAATATGTTAATCTAATTAGCCAACGCATTTGACTGAAAATAAAACCTTTGACCAATGAAAAACCTTTTACCCTGTCCCTACCTTTAGCCACGCCCATTGGTCCAGACAAAGAGAAAATCGTAAATTTTAACGAAACACCTCTCGCTTGTGTTTGTTTGTTTGTTTTGTTTAGTTTTGTTTTGACCAGACAGTAAAAAGGCTTTGACCAAGTGTGCCTCACACCTGCTGAGTGACGCTCCCGGCTGTTAGATCATCGCCCTCCTGGGGGCTACCTCCACTACAGGTCATTAAACCCGCCTATTTCATGTTAACAAGACTTGAGCCCAAATAACAAGCAATTACACTTGCAATACAATTTTCCGAAAAATGTTTTTTGGTCAATTAAGGCACTGGTGGGTATCACGCTGATGTAGTTTCAGATGTAAATTTTTCAAAAGAGTGTGTTTTGAACCAGATGAACCATGCTATAAAAACGGGGCGTGTCATCATGATTGACAGTTGTGATTGACAGCTTCTTTAAGCAGACCGAGCTTCGGGAGGAGATTGAAGTGGATCAATGTTTAATTTCTGTTATTTTACCATCATAAAACGTTCAGCAGAAACTATGTTTCTAACCTACATGATCTGATGGATTACTGTTTTATTCGGTAAAGTGTGGGCTTACACGACTAGTGTTAGCCATCAAGGGGGAAATACAGCCTATGGGCTCTATTTTGACGGTCCATGCGCAGCGCGCAAAACGCAGGGCGCAAACGCTTTCAGGGCGTGTCAGGACGCGTTTTTGCTAATTTAAGGACGGGAAAACCTGCTTTACGCCATGGCGCATAGTCTTAAAGGGTTGAGTTTATTTTCTTAATGAGTTATAGGTGTGTTTTGAGAATAAACCAATTAGAGTCTCATCTTCCATTCCTTTTAAGACCCAGCTGTGTCGCTCCATAAGCGCATTTGCTATTTACAGGATGCAAAGTAAGTCTAAGTGGAAAAAATGAGCATTTCACTGGTAAACAGTTTTTTTAAGAGAAAACTGTTAAACAGAGCATCTACTGCGTGAGAATGAGAGATAATGGATCACTTTCACTTTCGCTCTTGGATAGGGAAACCTTTACGCACAGACATCAATTAGTCTATAAATAAATACTTTTGTTTGTTAAGCGCAAATATTCGTTTCAAAATTCTAAATTCAGTTCTAATTTCCAGCAAACTAATAAATGAACAATAATAACAAAATGTGCTCAAAAACCTGAGTTATATCCTAAAACACATGCTGTGCCCCATATGGTCTAAAACCTGACAGGTGGGCAAATCTAAGCTTGTTTTTAATAAAACAAATATAAATATGGATATAATAAATAATACTGCTAATAATAATATTATACAAAAGCAAATTGTTATGAATGAACTGAAAAAGCCTCCCGAGATGAAGAAGACATAAAAGCAGTGATTTTTCATATTTATGAAGGCTAGAAAATAATGTTTTGTAATATTTTAATCCTTTATATTTATATCCTATATCTATCCTTATTATATTCTATATATATCCTTAATATTTCATTTTTTTCATATGTAAAGATATTTGCCTATTGCTTTCTTGTGCGTATTAAGCAGTATATAAGTGAGGTGCAACTCTGCGCCGGAGTTTAGACCGGGTTAGTTTTGGTCTAATGAAAAATCTATTATAGTTTCTCAAAATAGCAACGCGCCAGCGGTCCGCCTCAGAACGCCTTCCTTTTTAGACCAGAACGCCTATGGGCACACAAATGAGCGCTAATGCATTTGCTACTTAAACAGCCTAGCGCAACGCCTCAAAACGACTCTTGCGCCAAGATGAAACTACCAAAAGACTATTGCGCCGCGCCTTGCGCCACACTGCGCCGGGTGTATGATAGGGCCCTAAATCTACGCGCCGTGTCAAAAACTTCACCAATCAAATCGCCAGTTTTCATGTGTTCGGGGCTGCTGTAGTTACAATAAAAGCCACTTGGAGGCGCTTCAGCGCAAAACAGTCGACGTGATCCCAGTTTCACTTTCACTCATGAAGAAGATGATGCAAGGCAAGATGATCGTTGAGCTTGTTTTTTAATTGGTGTCTGAACACAAAGAACTGTATAAGCACAACAGTCAACAGCTGTAAGCTAATGTCAGTGGATGTGAAGAGAAGCAAATAGCATGCTGAGTATCATATCAGTTCACTCTGCTCAGCACTAATGAAAATCACCTGGGTTTGAATAAAGAAGGATGCGAAAAACACTGACGATAAACACGAGCACCCGGTGTGTACAAGCCTTTAATATGGCAAGTTCTTATATTTGAAGTGAAAACTCTTTAGTGCTGTCACTGTTACAAATCTAAGGGTGGAGATACAAATATGCTGATAGACAGTTTGAGCTGCCTATCGTAATGTTCGGCCCTAACATTTTGATTGGACAATGTTTGTTTAGTCCTATACCTTACCCTGGATATAAATATAGACAGAAGTACATTTAGATCACTTAGTTTAATTCTTATTGTTGGAGTGTGAAGAGACTTTCAGCCAGAAAAACAACTAAAACATTTCTGAAGACAATCAGCTATTGCACCTTTAAGCCATCATCATTTACAAAATGTGATTTATAAATGAGTTAACTATTCTTTCATACTTGCTACTTATATTATTTTACAGCTACAGTCTAAAATGAGGTCAGTGGCTCAGACTTGAACTTGTTTTTATGTTTGTTAAATCACAACTATAAACAGAAAGCAAAGCCAGAAAACAGTTTAGTTTGGATACTGCATGCATAGTTTACTGAGAATATGTGTTGATGTGCGAGTTAATTCTGTAATCGAGAAAACTGTCAGACAGACCGTCATTTATGAACTATTGTGCTCATTTTGCGCCTCAAACTGTAAGAAATTATATTTAAAAGTCAGCTTTATTTCACGTAAAAGGTTTATGCATCTTTTATTTAAGTAACAATGTGTGCAAAAATATACCTAATGTATTTTAGTTGTAGTATAACAATGTATTTAATACTTAAATGATTATTATAACAAAATATGATTTAAATTTAGTAAAAAATGAAGTAATATTATAAAAATAACATTCATAATATTACTTTATTTTGTTTAAAACCTTTTGTATAGCTGATTATATATTTTAGATCAAAATGTTTGAAGCTAGAAAAAAATATAATCGTAGGAAACATCAATAAAGACTGATTAATTTAATTTAATTTTGTGTTTTATAAATGTCTTGTGTTTACAGCCAGCGTATTATTATACATGACAAAACAAGTGACCTTCCCTTTGGCTGGTTTGAGATCATGTCTCCATCTTGTGGTAAAACAACTTATTGGATCAGCTAATAATAAAAGTAACTGTATTGTGTTTTGTTGGATACTTTTTTCTATTAGTTCATAATCCAATAGTGATTCGCTATATTCCCAGGACTTCTGAACACAAACCTACAATAGTGTCTGTAATAAAACAACACACAACTTTATGCAGTTCATGCTTTTACATTCATTTGAACATAAATATTACATTACCAATGTTGAAATACTTAATCCTGCTTCGTTGACTGCTTTCATGTGTGAGGTCCACATTAATTAACTCGGCCAATTAAATTACACTCCAAAATCATATAAGCCGTACTTTTGTTCATGATTAATGTATTTGGATTCAATATACAAAATTTACATTTGCACTACAAAAAATAAACCAAATATGATGCATATTTGTCAGTCAAACTAAATTAAATGGGCAAGATCTGTAATTATTTGTACCGGTTTGATTTTACTTAAATAATTATGATTTGGACGATCATTTATTTCAATAGCTTAGAATCAGAAATGATTAAAAGTCTGTTAAATGTTTGAAATCGGATATAATTGGCTATTAAATGTAAAATCTTGTATTTAAAAATGTAATAAAAAATAAATAAATTCAGAAATCGTACTGGGTATATTTACTGTGGGGGAAATAAGTAGTCAACATGCCACCATTTTAACATATTTCTTAAGGTGCAGTTGACTTGAAATTTTCACCAGATGTTGATAACATCCAAAGAAAAGAAGAAAGAAAAAAAAGTATATATATATATATATATATATATATATATATATATATATATATATATATATACACACATACACATGAAAAGAAAACAAATCTAATTAGTTTACAAATTAAGTTATGTGTAATGAAATGAAATGACACAGGAAAAAAGTTAAGCAGATGAAGAGAGGTGTGGAAAGGCAGCGAAAGCCCAGACAGCAGCTAAAATCTCTCAGTAGTTATTCAGTAACCCTCTGCCCTTCGTGGATGGAAATTGTGCATGCAAATCTTAAAACTTATTAATCTTAAATGTATATCTATAAGTTTGTGGATTTTGTCTAGTATAATGTATACACAATTCATTTTCAATCAATGAACACTCTCTAAGTTCAGTCCTTTTTTCTTTATTGGTTCGTTATTAGTAAACACACCAGTGAATCCAAACATATTGTACATACAGTGATGAACATCAGATGCTTGTCTTTCAAATGAATGTAAAAATAAAACTCACATTACAAATGGAGCCAACAGAGAACAATAAAATGCAAAACTTCCACCTCTTAGAAACTAAAAATCCCTTCAAAACAAATAGATGCACTGAATTGGTTTGCATTCCTATTGTGCTAACATTAAAAAATGACACCTGTGTTTGATAAGATATCTTGCATGTTCCCTTTTAAGTTATAACCAACAAGCAGGTCCCTTTTGTGGATATGTTTCAGTTCCCGTATTAGTAATCTAAGCAGCAGCACTGTAACACATCACAGCACAATAGATTCAAACAGTCAATGAACAGCCAACTTATTGCAATATTATTTTGGATGGGGAAAATTAAGTATATTACCATTGTCATACTGCAATGTGTACTGTCATTTTTTCCATTAGCTTCTTTATAGAATTTAGTGTTATGAGCATGAATTAAACCATAAATAAACATTTTATTCCACATAAGACCTGAACAACCACCCTGAAAAGATAATAGGATTTTAACAATATTAGTATAATTGTGTTGATGGGTTATTTCACCCAAAAATAACAATTGTTGTAATTTGCTTGCATGTCATTGCAGACTACTTCTGTGGTACACAAATGAAGGTATTTTGAAGAATGTTTAACCCCTTAGCTGTCAGTTATGGAGCACAGAGATGTAAAACTGATGACTTAAAACTTAAATTGTTGCAAAAATTCAGGTTGTAGCTGAAGCGAAATTAATGTTTAAAAAGTTCAATCAAAATTATGTACATTTAAAATTATGAATATAATAAAACAAAAATACATTTTAATATAATACATAAAATATTTATCAAACAAAACGTTTTTACCTAAAATCAAAGCAAAATATTTCAACAAATTATATTTTTTTCCATGTTTAAAATGTGATTGGATCCTTTTTTCTAAAAAAATAACATAAAAAATAAAATGGGTGTTATCTTTGGAGTTTCCTAACAGTTTAATTTTGTAATTTTTGTTTAAACAGAATATAGTAGCATATAGGGCTAAACAATATATCATTTGTGCATCAACATCGTAATGTGTATATCTGCAATAGTCACATCACAGGATTAAATTATTTATGAAAGATTAAAAGATAAAGATATATATTTATACAATGATGACCATGTTATTTGACATTTGATTGTTCAATTTCTATAATTGAATACTGCTACATTCCCCAGAAAATCATAAAGCACTGTTTATTTCACTTTTATACTTTATTTGCTTTTAATTTATTATAATTTATGCAGATTTACTGCAAAGAAAAAAAATTAACAATCTTTCCAAATGGAGCTTTTCAAATTATATAGAGAGATTATATTCACATCGCAATATATATTGCTGCTGAATAAAATATCGCAATTCTAATCTAATTCCATGATGGAATATATGGAAACTGGAAATTCAGAGCTTTCAAATAATATATAGTTCGTCATTATTGCTTTGTTTAGACTAAAATATTATGGTTTAAAAAATTGAATGGGTAAAAAAAGTGGTAAAATACGTATTTAGTAGTCTGCAACCTTTCCAACAATATATAGTTTTTCATCATTGGTTTAGGATTCAATTGCAATAAAGTAAAGCAAACATTAGAATCCCACTGGACACTGAAAGTCAAGGGGTTAAACAGTTTTTGAAGTTTTGAAAACGACATTAGACAGAAAAGCACATTTATCCAAACATCTTGTGTTCATGTAAATGACAACAGAATCCTCTTTTTTCAGATTACTTGCACTTCCAATTGCCTAAAGTTACTGTAAAGCAGACATGTGCATGTATCACTGAAGGGGGAAAAAGGAAGTGCCTTGGAAAGTGACAAGTCATTAAAAATTGTGTTGCGAAAATGCTGAAATAGATCAGCGCGTGTCTTGAAGTAATTGTCACTTGACTGTAAAGTTGGTAAAATCATATTAGAATAAAGGTGCCATAGTGCTGCTCTTTGTACAGTTCCTGTTTCTGCTACTACGGATTCAGAACTATTTGTTTTGCAAGTGCAATTTGCTTACAATCCTGAATGGCACGCGAGCGAGTGCATTATCTGTTTGTTCACATTGTTTGTAGGGGAAGAAAAAAATAACAACAGTCCGTCTGATCATTCAGTGTATCTTCTGTAAACAGCCTGTAACTGAACACATCAATAGTAGATCAATGCAGAAAAATGAGATGCGTTCCTACAGATACATGTACTCGTTCATTCAAATCACATTTTAAATCGGTGTCGACTGAGGAACATCTGGAGGTGGGACTCTTTGAACACTATGGCTGTACTAATGTGAATGGTAATTACTTGGCATCTAGCTGCTGGGTAGCGATGATGACCTGACTATCTGTCTCCTGACACTGAACGGCATCCATCTCGATGGCTTTCAAAACAAGCGTGTTGACTTCAGCAGTATTTGCATCAAGGTTGCTGGCGGTTTCTGTCACGGGAGCAGTTTGTGTGCTAACTGCTTCCTCAATTCCCTCCAGTATTAAAATGCCACTGCTGGCTTGAAGGCATTTTGCATTGAGCTTGTTAACCTCGCCAACATGATCCTCTTTCTCAGTCACAGCCTCTTCCTGAATTGCACTGTAGTCTTCATCACTGATTCCATTCTCATGGATCGTATGGTTCTCTGTTAACTCTACTTGCAGTGCAACATCCTCCATTGTTGTAACTGCAGTTTCTGGTACATTCTCAGCCTTGTCTTCTTGGATGGCACTGAGATCTAGAGTTACTTCATTATTTTGGATCCTTACTCTTGGATCTTCTTCATGAATATTCTCATCAGAGGTTTGTCCCACAGTGCTGTCTTCTTGATTTCCCTTCATTGCATCATTGACATTATCAAGAGTTCCTCTCTCTATGACCTTATCTACTGAGGTATTGTCAACTAAATCTTCACCAAAAGATGGTTCTTGATCTAAATTATTTTTACTGGGTTTTTCTCTTTGCAGTGGCTTGTCTTCGAGACTCCCGTCTATCTGTGGAGCAGGAGACTCACAATTATATGTTTGAGGATATTTGGTGTCCTTAACGAGTATTTCCGCATCTTCTGATTCAGTGGTCGTACTGTCTTCCTCCGTTTCTACTGAACCTTGAAGGTTTGGATGGACCTCGACAACTAGTTTAATGTAACTCTGTTTTTCTTCAGGTAGATGTTCATGATCGGTTTTCAATGCAGTCTGTTCTGTATCACTCAGTCTCAACTCTGAAGCATCTGTAAGTTCATTTGGAGGTCCACTAGATAAGGCTCCTGGACTTTGTAATGAAGGAAGGTGAGGAACAGGGCTGTAAAGAGAAGTAACGCATTATGAGCAGGCGTTCTACTGGTTTCACAAAGTCAAATTTAAGACATTTTAGGACCTTTTTAAGACCATTATAAATGACATTTTAGACTTAAACAGGACTAAACGTGCAGGATTTTTTCCCCCTAATGGCTATTAGTTGGTCTAATTAGTAGCCAAAAATACTTTTACTTGTCCCATCAAAAAACACTAATTAGTTATTTCTTGGCCACATATTTAAATAAATGTCAAAAAAGAAAACTCTAGCTGTACTGTAGACATTTTTTTTTTTTTTGAAAAAAATGCTTTAAAAACTATAATAAACTAAACGTATAAATATGTGTCCAAGTCAGGGCCCTCACCATATATGGTCTTTAAATGCATGGAGAGCTTTTAATCAAATGTTATTGCAAGGTAGATAATTAAACCATATTGGTAAATAGAGCTACAAATAGAGTTTTGTTAAAAGTTTTAATGAGATTGATTGTTGGTGATTGGATGGGTGTTTGCCCGACTGGGCAGCTTTACATGGACATAGGAAAATTAAGACTTGTTTAAAACAATTTTAAGACCTACAATACATTATTTCAGTGAATTTAAGACTTTAAGGTCTAAAATTTTGTTTTTGAATAAGAGATTTTAAGACTTTTTAAGACACCCTGTATGAGACAATTGATTTTAATGTTATGGCAGAGCTTTAGACTGTGACTGAATGGCAACATTTCTACACTCAGCACAACTAAATTTTGAGTTTAGACTGGTGCAACCACCAAACTGATGAGTGTTGGCTTTTTTTGGAGCGTATGATAAACATTACACAACACTTTTATATACTGGAACACTGTAAAAAACATTACATGAACAAAGTCATGACAACAAATGTTTTATGCTACTTTAATTATTTTAACAAGTTACTTTTTTCTACGTACTTTTACACAGCACCTTATAACAATATACAATGAAATACAATATTTTCTCTAGGCATTTGTACACAGCACCTTTTAACTTGTATACTTATAACAAATCTGTACATATAATTCAACATCCAGAGCTTTTTGACTAATTGCATCTTTGTTTCATGCTTGTCATATTTTTTCGTGTTGTCACTTGTCAGTTTATGTATAGTGGAAGCTTCTGTTGCCAAACAAATTCCTTGTGTGTTAGCACACTTGGTAAAAAAACGATTCTGATTAATCAGGTTTAATTTAATATTTTTGTCAGTTTCACTGAAGTAGGTTTAGATGACTAGAAAAGTTAATTTTATTCAACTGAAACAATGTAGGCAATAATATTATTTTTTACAGTGAATGAAGCAGCACTTCTTTTCACAAATTCATTATTTCACCCAAAAACAAAAGTTCTGTTAATATGTAGTCACCCTCGCATCGTTCCTATACACTGAGACTTTTGTTCATCTTCGAAACACAAACTAAAAACACTTGAAACATTCCCTTATCCTCCATGGATACCAACAGTCTTAAGACATTTTAAGTCCAGAAAAGGAACCAAAAACTTTGTCGAAACATTCCATGTGACTTCAGTGGTTCAACTGTAATCATATGATGCTCCAAGAACACTTCTGTGCATCAAAAAAACAAAACAAAAAACTGACAGTGGTAAACGCATACCCTGACACAAAAAAGCACACCCTGACACAAAAAAAGTGTTGCAGAAGATGATTAAATGTTATGATTACAGTTAGAAATGCTGACAATGTGTTTGGTTTCTTTTCTGAGCTTTGAACATCTCTGAACCTTTACTGTCTTTAGAGGATGAGGGAACTCTCAGGTATAAGATCTTAATTTGTGTTCAGAAGATCATCAAAGGTCTCAATAGATCGGAACAGAAGCACATGAGGGCGATAAATTAAATACAGAATGTTCATTGTTGTGTGAACTAACACTTTAAAGTTATATGTAATATATACATGTAAAATATATTTCAATATTTTCTGACCTCTTTCAGAAATTGCAATTGTATGGTGGTTAAACAATACTGGTAACAGCAAAGACTATAGCAGTAAGACATATACAAACCATGCCCTTTCCATTAAATAATGGCTTGAAATTATATAATAATAGAATACAAGATAAAGGCTCTTAATCTTTTTTTTTGCCTTGGCCTTTTCAACAATTCTTTTCAATTCACAAATTGCAAACATTTATCATAAATTGATATTAGTAACACTTACCGCTGGCGAAAATGTAGGACATTTATACAGAATTGCGTTTAGCCATATCAGTTTATATTTATACTTTATTCCTTTAGGCTACCTGACAGAAAGCATATCGTTTGTAGAGCTGTGGGGGAAAAACGTTCTAAAAATCTATTCTGCGATTTTCAAAAAGCATTGCTATTTTGTCTTGAATTGATAATAAGTTTAGTCAGAAATATTTGGTGGTTGTGCAGTTGTTGCCGTTATTGGATGATGAAAAAATATTAACATTCATAAGTTATTGCTACTGTCAAATGTGTTTTCTTGGAGTCAAAATATGTAAAGCTTTTGATACAGGGTGTCCGCGGGGTCTTAAAGTATAAAAAGTTGATAAATCAATTATGAGAAAATTAAGGCCCTTAAAAGGTATTAAGAAGTCTTTTTTAGTCGTTTTTATGAGGTCTTACATTTTGTTCAAACATTATCCAAAGTGTTTGACTCCAAAAAAAAAAGCATAAATATATTTATTTTATATATTTCTTTTTAAGGTGATGTGAATGTGAAACCATAGAGCTAAACAGATGGCAAAAATAGAAAATGTAAGTTTGCATACTCCTGGTTGGAGAAATACGAGTTTAAACAGTGGCTGAAGCCTGTCACTGAAAACAACTATATATTTTATTCTTTCAAGCTTTATTTCTTCAGAGATTATTTGAGTTTTGTTGCATAATTGTGCTCCATTGATTTAATTAACTACAAATGTTCATTAAGTTAAAGGTTTGATAATGATTATAACTTGGAAGAAGTGATGAGGTCTAAAAATATTCAGAGAAGGTCTTTAAAAAGACTTAAAAAGTATTGAAATTACCTTTAGGATTTCTGCATATACCCTGTAATACTACAGTGCTTCCAATTCTCGTCTATTTGTAAAATGTGACAGCACCAGTAACACTGCACTCAAATAACTTTAGAAGCTATTTTACATTATTATATTTAGTTTTATTTTATGATCTTTAAACCAGTTTTTCTTTACCTTTCTACGGATTCATATGACACAGTGGTGGAGCATAATTCTTGGTCAGCGCCCCCTTCCTCCTGCACCCATCCACGGTTGGAGGAAGCATAACTTAGAATGGCCTCAGTAACAGTGTAAGGGGTGTGACCATGCACACAGTCCTCAATGTGCTTGACAGGAAGCTGGGTCTGCAGGAAAAGATGCAGCTGACTATCCGACAGGCACACTGTCATGTGCAGCACCCTGAACGGGAAGACAAAAACAATAAATCTGTGGAATTTCAAGCTACTTTTTAATTCTCACAATGTTAAAGCTTTGTGTATAGGCCCATTCACACTGCACCAACAGTGGACGATCACCAGATAACAACACGTCACCTCTCAGACATTCCATGATCAGACAAGTGCTGATTCAGCACATTCAGTTTGACGAAAACAAGCTCAGACAGAGAGTGGTAAGTCACTGACTGGACAGCATCCAGCCCGTCTGTTGCCGCCTATTGGTGTGGTGTGAATTGAATTTAAGCAAATACCAGCAAGACTATTAAATAAATAACAAGAACGAACTTATCCAAGAAGCCCTGAAGACCCTTTCTTCTCCTTTCAATGAAGTCGTCATTAATAAACGAGAAGATAGACTTTTTTGGCAGCTCAGGAACAGGCCTGTAAGAAACAGAAATGCATTTTGAGTTTATAAAAGGAACTTGATTTATTTTTTAGGATATTTCATTAAAATGGAATTGCATCCAGCCTCTACTAAATGGCAGATCAATAACACTGCTTTCAATTGCAGTAATTGACCCATTTAACGAAGCATTTTGGATGAGACATAAGCCACTGATGTGAGAGTGTTTATGTAAACAAGTTAACCCAGATGTTTTCAAATGATCATCCTCATGTGACAGAAGCCCATACTAAACAAAAAAACCACCTTGTATCCTTGCATTCTTGTATAAAGACCCTCATTTATACTGTGACTTTAATTTTAACTTAATTAATATAAGTTTCTATTAATATTATATATAATATTATACTTTAATATGAACTTAATTAATATTAAAGTTAAATATTTTCCACCTATGCCGTAGAATGTTTATAACATATATTATATAGTGTTATAGTTCTTTTATATATTTTCTTTTATTTATACATGCATTTGTAATATAATTTGTCTTTATTATTTGTTATCTTTGGTCTTTTCTCCCAACATTTCCACAGACCCCCATGCGTTAAGTTGTTCTCCTTTATGTTAGCAAGCTCATTAATGTACACAACATACACAGATCAACACAGCTACACTTAATTGCAGTCTAGTCTGGTCTATTACAGCTAGTCTATTACACTGACTGCACACAGCTTATAAACACTTAAAACTGACATTATTTGTGAATCTCTGCAGAGCAAAACTGGTAATGCTGTGGGGAATTTACTCCCATTTACTGTTATGAAGAACACTTTGGATTTACATGCACTCAACCACAAAGAAAATGAATCACTTTCTTGACCAAAGAAATTATATGAATATCTTCTCATCTAATGCAAATGTAAAAGTCATAGTAATTTTAGTTATATTTTAATGATCCAACATGCATAACAAATGAAATACCATATGCAGAAGATATGTTTTGATGTCACCACCAGGAAATAATCGAATTTTAAATAAAGTCTTTTAAATGTATCTTATTCACATGTCGGCTAATATATCTGCACAGACTGCAAACCAGTAAAACAGGTTATTTCATTAACCAGATTTGTGATCGTTCTCATTGTACTGTTGTGCATGTAGCCATGCTCAATTGGAAGCATAAACAGGAACTTACACCAGACCAGCATTCTTCTGCAGTTTTTTCTTCAGCCAAGCAAACTCACTGTATCGCCGCCTCACACAGGATGTTTTGGCAGTGAATGCTTTGCTGTTTGTCTGAAGGCAGAAAGCAAGTATGAAACCAAATTCAGATCACTGACGTAGTTATCAAAATGAACTGCTAAATAAAAATTGAAGGTTTATACTTCTATAATAAAGACATTTATATCATAAAAGCCTGTACATCTATCACGTCTTGCATATTCGCCCATTTTAAAATGGTCAGTTTATCGCTTAAAGTTTTATTGTTGTAAACCTTTAAACTAACTAAAGTCATGCTGATGTCCATCATTCAAATATTGTCATTTACAGCTTTTTTCATTTAATGGCCACTAGAATAACAAACATTTTGAGATATTTTAATTTGAAATATTGATTTCATAAAGGGATCGTGTACTCAAAAATTCATAATTTACTCACTTTCTTTACCCTGTCTGTTGTTTGAACACATAAGAAAATGTTTTAAAGAAAGCTGGAAACCTGTAATCATTGACATTCATGGTATTTGTTTTTCCACCAAAGGTTATAGGTTTTCAGCTTTCTTCAAAACATCTTTTTTTTGTGTTCAACAGAAGGAAGAAACTCAAAGATTTGTAGCCATTGGAGAGTAAGCAAATTCTGAAGTAAGTTTTTTAAACCCTGTCATTGTACCATCTACAAATCAACTTTTTTTCTTCAACTTTTTTTGCTATTTTGTCCAAAATAATAAAGCTCTAAATGACAAATTTTTATTTTATTTTAAATGTATTAAATAATGTGTTACTCAGCATATACAAGTACTTCCCTCACAAATCTCTCTTTTAAATTCACAATTTTAATAGGAAGCTATACAATATTATATTTGTGCTTATACATTAGATTAGTCAGTACTGAAGCCAAATCCATAGCTTATCTAACAAAATAACTGACAATAATGGTCTAAAAACTAGTACACCCAAATTTATGTTATAAAAAATTGAGACAAATTTAAAAAAAAGAGAAAAAAAATCAAGAGAAACAAAAAAGTATACAATTTAGTTGACATTTTGTAGGTTGTATTTATTTATTTAATTTTTTTGCAATATTTGGCTTGATTTTAATTGTATTATCTTTTAGTTTCTAAATATGTTTGGCTACTGAAATATTATTTTAATAAATATTTCTGATTAATAAATCTTTTTGTTTAAATGCACCAAAATACATCCGCTATATTCACTGAGAAATGGATACAAATATTCATTTAAAAATGGGGTGTACTCAGTTATGCTGAGCACTAAAACAAAACAAAACAAAAAATATCCAGAGAAACTGACCTTTGCTTGAGTTGGCAAAAAAAAAAAATACTAAAAAGCTTTTGACTAAGAAACATAGTCACATTATTAGATAGTAATCTTGACATATTATTAGAAATCCTTAAGGCAAAAACACTCACATGAAGGAAAATCTTGAAGTCCACATATGAGTTCCATGACCCTTCATTCTGAACACGAGGATCCTGAACCCTCACAGCTATGAATTCCTGTAGAAAAAGGAAAGTTATAAACCTATTTTCAAGTCCATTTCATGCAGATATTAGACATATATGTGAATGCATACTTTTAAAAAGACATTCCTGTGACCCTTTACTATTTTACAGCTTCAATCAAAGTTTTTCCTTAAATCCAACTATTTATTAATGCTAAGTCATAGCACATTACAAAGGCAAACATAGAAGTATATCAAAGAAATCTTACATCTTGCTCTTGACTTTTGCTCATCCTGCCAGAGGAAACACAGCACAATGGACATCTGTGGAAAAAACAACGACAGTCACATGAGTCATCAACCACAACAATAAAAACAAACACAAACACTGCATGTTCTGTCATGCCTTTTCAACTCACATTATTTTGTCTTTGGTCTTCCATAATTTGAAAAAAGCAAGTATCTTCACAATTCCATAATGAGGGAAATCAACAGACTCCTCATTCCTTTTACTGTCTGCTCTCCAATACATTACAGAATGCTTATTTAGAGTATCTAGGATACAAAAATCTCCTGACTCGCGTTTTTTACCACTGTGATAATGCATCTGCCCCTCCTCTTCCTCTAAACGCTGATTAATCAAGATTATTTGCTAATTCTGTGGTCAATACTGTTATTTAAGCGCGATTAAAGGACAACGAAACTGAACAAGCTAACTTAGCAACCATGTGTAAGAGAAACACTTAGCGTTCGTGTATGTGATCTGCCACAGCACTTTTTTACTAAAGAGAATAGTTATAAAGTATATTTTCTGCCTAACTTATATGTACGTTATTAAGTCTGATACTTACTGTAATAGTACTCTCAGCTCCAGGTTGAATTTCTGCTAGCGCAAGTTAATGAGCTCATGGATACTACGTCAAAAAAACAAAGGAGTATCTTCATCCCATCCGGGCGTAATAAATTTAAGATGTTTTTGAAATGTCACTTTGACTGTCTCGCGTACAAAGACAAAACAGACAAGAACTGTTAAAAACAAGTCGAGACATATTTGTGAGTAAGCGAGTCACGTGACCAGCTTCCCTTTTCTTCAGCTGTAGGTAAAAGCAGGCTGAAATGAGACGCTGCCATCTAGTGCACAGGTTATATTAGTCTTTAGTTTATGGTTTGTTTACTATGCGGACGCGTTGAAAGTGTGTAGCAAACAGTATCCCCTTCCGAAGCAAGTGGCCCTACACTTTAAAAAAAACCTTGTTGCCTTAAGTTTTTAAGCTAAATAAAATTACCCTTATGAGTCTATAACCTTTAACATATTATGTTAAACTGACTTAAAACTGCTTGCATAACTTAGGTTTAATAAGTTATAATGAACTAAAACATATGCTGTCATGACTAATTGTTCATATAATTTTTTATAGTGTTAGCAAATCCAACCTAAGGGTCCCAAAAGTTCTATAAGTTGCACTTTATTATTTTTAAATTAATATTTTGCTGTTTTTTCTTGTATCTTTCTATCTCCTTTTCTACATTTTATCATACTTCATTCATTCATTCATTCATTCATTCATTTTCTTGTCAGCTTAGTCCAGGGGTGGGCAAACTCAGTCCTGGAGGGCTGGTGTCCTGCACAGTTTAGCTCCAACACTAATCAAACACACCTGCTTGTAGATTTCGAGTGATATTGAAGACACTGATCAGCTTGTTCAGGTGTGTTTGATTAGTGTTGGAGCTAAACTGTGCAGGTCACCGGCCCTCCAGGACTGAGTTTGCCCATCCCTGGCTTAGTCCCCTTATTAATCAGGGGGTCGCCACAGCGGAATGAACCGCCAACTTATCCAGCTAGTTTTTACGCAGCGGATGCCCTTCCATCCGCAACCAATCTCTGGGAAACATCCACACACACACACTCATACTCATACACTAAAGACAATTTAGCCTACCCAATTCACCTGTGCCGCATGTCTTTGGACTGTGGGGGAAACCGGAGCACCCGGAGGAAACCCACGCAATTGCAGGGAGAGCATGCAAACTCCACACAGAAACGCCAACTGAGCCAAGGCTCAAACCAGCGACCTTCTTGCTGTGAGGTGACAGCACTGCTACGCCCCCATTTTATCAAAATGCAAAATAATAATTGCACGTAAAGCACCTTGTAAAAACTTTTAAAACCATTAGTTTTTTTAAGATGAATTCACAACTAAAACTAATAACTGAACTATATTGTTTTAAAAGCTAAATCTTTACTGATTTGACTGTTGGACGGGTCCATCATGATTAAATGTGGGGGGACAGGACACATTTGCTCAGCTGTAATAATTATGTTCAAACTGAAATTTTCAGACTCTTACCGTACAAAATATAATAAACAATGTTATATATAAAATATAGGTATCATTGGTAATTGTAGTTATTTATTTGGGGGGTTACTTGTAGTTTATTTTAAACTGCATTAAAGCAAGATGTTTTTTAGTTGTAAACCATTGGAAAAAAAAACATAATTTAAAAAGGTTCAACAATAACACCGTTTGTATTTGAGGTTTTTAGAAAAGTTTGAATAAGCAAATTAGGTATAATCTAATTAAATATTCATATATTATGGAAAAAAAGAAAAAAATTACAATATCAAGTTTTTTTGATACTTTTATTTTTTTTATCGACTAATATTACTGTAGAATTTTCTTGACATTTTAGAGAGTTTACACAACAAATAATACTTATCATATGTTTTATTTGGCAAATGTGTGAAATAAAGATATACTTTCTAGAAATCAATTCAGAAAATTACATATTTCAAATTAAATTAAAGTTCTGCTACAAGATTGTCTCAAGTGAAGAGTTTTGGCTCAGTGCATGAGGGAACAATGTTTTGAGGAAAAAATCATGTACAGACTCAAATGGATAATAATAATATAAACAAATGAATAATGATCACTTAAATGTGCAATTTGTGGCCAGAATAGGTCAAAATTTCAAAATAAAGCTAATAATCAAGAAGAAAGAAGGTTATTTTATATTCTTATATAACTCTTTAATATTTCACATATTATTATTGAATAAAATAATCTTGGAATAAAAGAGTCTTGTGTAAAAGAAAAAGACAAATTTTTGTTGGTATAATGCAGAAATACATAGCAATTTTTGTATTGTACAAACAATAGCATGTAACATTTAGCACTTTAGAGTCATAAATAGCATCTGATGTCAGTGATGATGAAGGATCCATTCTAAATGGCGTCTCAGTGGAGCGTTGAGTGTAAGAACTTTATCCTCTATAATCTTCTTTAGCTTCTGTTGCTCGCAGGTGGGGATGTCAGATGGAGCCACTGAGACAAACGGAGAAACAGTGCCTTTTATTTGATAGCTTGATTTGAGCATGTATTCTGAACGGTGAGCTTCAAACAATAACAAAATAGCAGATCAATAGGATGCATTATTTATTAATGCTAAAATGTTGATAATTGTATTTTTTCCAGCTAAAGAAATGGAAGATGCAGAGGTTCGACAACAGAAGCTGGACAATCAGGTAAGATTCTAATAGATGAGTATATTTTTATTAGACATTTTCTCAAATTTGTTTTAATGTTATAAGAATAAAATGAATTTTGATCATTATTATCGTAGGTTACTTCGTGCTTAAAGAATGGAATCTAAGCACAAATAATGTTGTGAGGAAAGAATAGAAACTATATTTTTATCATTGTTTTGGAGAAATGTGTCTATACTGATGCCATTATACTGTGATTGTAATGCATAAGTGGATGTGTAACAACAGTTCATATCTTGTCAACTCTCATAGCGTTCACTTTTAATCAAGAAACAACAAAGACGAAGGGCAGATGCCCGGATGGTTACAGCGAATCCTGACATCTGTTCCAAGACACGCAAACAGAAACCTGAGTGTGACGATACTGTTTTATTGATAAGCCAATCTCAAAGCAATACTTCCCTCAATGGTTTGTACACACTTACACTATATAAACCGGAACCTCATTGCTAACATAACATCCATCTATCTATCAATCTACACTCAACAAAATTGTAAACGCAACACCTGTTGAAATTGCACCCATTTTTCATGAGCTTGAATGGCCAATTTCAGATTATTGTTCACACATTTGTCAAAATCTATGATACAGTAGTTTGTGCTTCTTCTTTGTCAATCAGTCGATCCACCTTACAGGTGTGACATATCAAGATGTTGACAGCATTATGATCAATATATTCAATCCATATCAACAGCTCTGTTGGACATTCCTGCAGTCAGTGGTATCTCTCCCTCAAAAATTTTGACATCTGTGGCATTGTGCTGTGTTATAAGAGTTGCACATTTTAGAGTGGTCTTTTATTGTGGCCAACCTAAGGCACACCTGTGCAATAATCATGCTGTGTAATCAGCATCTTGATATGCCACAGCTGTGGGGCAGTGATGAGAAGTTTGGATCTTTTCCACAAATCCTTTGGATCCTTTGGACAGCTCATCTCAATGAACCAGTTAAAAATAATACAATGTAATCATGTCATCCACAATGATGTAATCAATCCTCTCATGTTAGGACTCAACATATCAAAAATATATAGTCAGCAATCATAATTTCAGTCAGTTAAAACATCACCAAAAGTTTTGCAGCCTGAATGAAGCATGATTCACTGACTATTTTAATACCACTATGATTTTCTGTTATGAAATAAACTTATGTTTCGCCAGATCCTTTCAGTCTTTGGCTTACGATTTACTGTTTTTACAACAGCTTAGTCAGTTGTCCTAGTTTGGTTGAGACGGTACTGTAATACTATGTCAGTCACAACAGGCTGTGATGCACTGTTTGTGTTCAGTTCACCACCTGCTGAATCACACATATGCAGTATTACCAGTTCACCTAATCTCACATCTGATTTAGTAACTGAATAACTCAGGAAGTTAGTTTATTTCAAGTCAGAGGGGGTATCAGGCATGTTAAAAAAATTATTTGTAGATAAGGGCTTACTGCAGAAGCAAACTTTTTAAAATGATTCAGTTCGATTCGGTGAACTGATTCATTTAGAAGATCTAAGAGGTGGATGGATTAAGTACTCACTAATACATATTTAGAACAATATTTGAGACAAATAGGCCTTTTGTGTGCATATAAATTGTCTATCTGTCTGTGTCTGTATCTGTCTTTTTTAATATCAGACACACAACCTGAGCATATTTATGAAAACACAGTGGAGGAGATTTGTTTGGGAGAACTGAGTGTTTCATCCAGGACAGAAGAGGCATCAGAGGAAATTGCTCAGACTGTCCCGGTCATCATTAAGAAAATCGATCTAGAGATCAGCCCGAAGCACAGCACTACAAGCACTTTAGACACAGACGGCCAGGCAGATGAAAAGAAAACAAAGAAGAAGGGTGTGAAAAAGGGACAAACTAAACGTAAGTAGTTTTTTTCTGTTTTCAATCACACCTGTTGTGTCTGCCTTAGTTTGATGAGTCTATTTTGTTGAATTCCAGTACTTGAACCAAAAGCTGCACTGGAGGTGGAGGAAAATGAAAAGAAAGAGAAGAAATCTGTGAAGAAGAAGGAAAAGACAAATGGAACTAAAGGGAGAGCAAAGACAGGGGAACAGTCCTGTAAGTTTACCGGAGATGTGTGTCTATTGTTAGGCTTGACACAAGTTAAAGGCCATTTCCTGAAGCGCAGCTATTCATAAATAGGAAATAATTGGACATTGGCATCGTTAACATTCCGATTTTTGTATTTGTCCTCCTAGCAGTTCAGACTGATTCAGTTGTGGATTTCTCCATTAATGAAGAGAAAAAACCTGAA